GTAACCCCTCCAATTTTCCCACTCAAATTTCTCCTCTCCCTATCCTCCGAGGGGAGGGAGCAGGAGTGGAAAGGAAGGTAATTGGGGCTTAATTGGAGCTGATCTGAAATCTTGGAATTGAATCAATCTTCTATGGCGGTCTCAGTAGTCAGGTTCCTAAGCCAGGCAGACATGCAGTACTCCAGGGCATTGCTGAGGATAGCCCAGCCACCCTGGATAATCAGTAGGACTTGTTGGGGCAGGGATTCTTCCTACTCAGCTTATGTTAATCCTGCAGGTCTACTGGGCACTGCTGGTCCCAGCTGGATAAACAAAGGGAAGCTTGTCAGTCAGTGATTTCACTGACAAGCTATGCAGTTTTGGAGAGTGCACATTCCATTCGAACAATCTATCTCTGGGATTTCCATGTGTAGGTGGGATGCATGGAAATCTCAGCTTGATTTGGATACTCTTAATCATGGTGATGGATTTCCACATGTGTTGGACACCTGGCTGATGAAAAGAACAAATATGTCAGAAGTTACAGAGAATCTATTGGCCAACACTTACACTATCTCACCGACAACAGTGGAAAACAGTTGGGGATCAATTGTAAACTGGTGCTGATGACAATACAAGAATACTGTTATCTGCTATGACTAAACAGAACTAAACATTTCAATGCTGTTGTCAAAATAGCAGGTATACTCTAGGCAGTTATTCTGCACAATGTATTACCTCACCCTGTATAAAATCATACATAACCTGGAATTTCCCCTCAAATGGTACTGAATGCAGATACCAACATAAACCAGCAAAGAATCTATCATCCAAATAAATTTTTAATTGTTTGTAAAACTAATAACATATTAGTCCAAACATTTGAACAGAGTTTTGAAGGTCAATGGAGTCCATTTAACACCAGGATTTAGCTACTCACTAACATTTTGGATTTTTCAAGCCTTTGCTCAGCCTGAAAGCCAATTGCTGGCAACAACCACAAACCGGAAGGTGCAATCACATTTTCCTTTTGTTGTCCGTTTCATTAGTTATATATCCAATTGGCCTTTACTGTACTCCTTCCAATGCCAATATATTTTTGTTGTAATATGGTGACCAGATTTACATGTACAACTACAGGAGATGTGAAACCAGTCCCCTGTACACGTTTAGTGCCTCTTTGTGTGACTGAATGAATAAAATAATCGTTGCATTTTATATAATACCTTTCACATCAGGAGGACATTGCAAACACCCAATTTGTGCATAACAATGTCCGACAAACAGTGATGGTGTGAATGATCAATTTTATCTCGGAGTTGATGGCCAGAGGACTGGGAGAAACACCTTTTTGGTTTTGAATAGTGCCATGGAGTCATTGGCTTTCACCCGAACCAGAGAATGGGACCTCAGTTTAACATATCATCTGAAGGACAGCACCTCCAAAACCCAGCACACCCTCAGCATTACATTGGAGTGTTAGCTCAACTTGGTCCCAACTTGGGGTTTGAGCACAAAACCTATGGACTTAGAGGTGAGAGTGGAGCCAATTGACATCTTCATCCGTTTAGCAGATCCTGTTTCACTTTGTTTTTTCTTTGCTTTAAATCTATCTACTTTAATACCCATGTCCTCACTTAAATTGGTTCCACTGGTGGGTGTGTCGGTGACTCGAGGTCACAGCTTCAAAATAATCTCTAAAAGAAGCAGAGGGGAGGTGCAAAGAATTTTTTTCATGCAGCGAGTTGTTCGAATCTGGAACGCATTGCCTGAAAGGGTAGTCGAGGCCGATTCGATAACTACTTTTAAAAACACGGTGGACGGGTATTTGAGGAGGATGGGCTTGCAGGGTTATGGGGAAAGGGCTGGGGAGTGGGACTGACATTAATTGCTCTATTCAAAGAGCCGGCACAAACTCGATGGGCCGAATGGCCTCTTTTTTGTGCTGTACGATTCTATGATTCTATGATAAATAGTCTAGTTGATGTTCATTTGGGGTTGAAAGTTCAGTAATTCACAAACTGGACTAATTTAAGTTTCCAGTTTGTGTGTGAAATTCACTACAAAATCCAATATCAAATTTGCTTTAAAAGTTAAAAATTTCAGAAGTAATAACTCCAAAGGCCAGCAAAGATAATTTTGCTTTCCGAATCTTTTCTCTCCCAAGAAACTGCCCCAAATGCAAATGGCTGGTTGTGATCATGAGCTATAAGGCCTGTAGCTGCTTCTAATGGTAGGAAATGGATCAACTTTCCAATTAAGCGAAATTAAAACCAGTTAGGTTGAAATCGCTGATTGCTGCAACGCTCAAAATGTAACTTTGACAAAAAATGTTTCTCGTCCACTATGAAGGGTTAAAAAAAAGCAAACAGGTGTTTGTAGAAAAAACTATTGACCTTTATAAAGTGGCAACAGACATATCTGCAGCACAGTGCTGCTTGAGAAACGGGAGGGCTATATGTTTTGGTAATCTGCAGGCTTTAGGGTTGCTAGTTAATGGTTTTGGGTGCAGGAACTGTTCCTGTGGGATGTGCTTAGCTTGCAGTCGTCTCTTCCTGTAGCTCAGATGGTCTGCCAACTGACAAAGTGGTCCTTCGTTCTGCTCATGTTAAATAATGTATGGCACTTTATATGGTTTTTAATGCAACCGGCAAGAAATATTTTCAGAGGCGGTATGTGTCAGTTATCTATCTTTAAGGCTTTCTTGCATTTCATATGAGCACTGACTGTTAGAGCACTTCATTTAGCCATTACAAGTGAGGTAAATATTTTAAAATATATACAAATATCTTCATGACAGACAGTTACCTTGATTCGTTTCATGACCTATTTTAGTCAGAACGTAAGCACTTGCAGCACAGGATATTCAAAATGTCAATATCCAGAGTAGAGTAGGTAAAAACTTCTAGTTATTTCATCCATGGTTATTGCTTGCTTTGTTGAATTAGACAGGTTAGTTTCATGATCTTGGCTTGACACCATTTGGAAGAAACCTGAGGAGATCAGAAGAGTTTATTAGAGGAGCTACTTGCGGGTTAATCAATGAAGGAGAAACAATTGGATTGAAGCAGTTTACTGAACATACGTATACATATGTATGAGAGAGCATTATTAAATGAGCCTTTCCCAGTTCATATCCCAGATTCTTCTTATGTATTCTTTTACATATGTATGTCAATCTGGCTCAGTGGTAGCAATCTTGCCTCTGATCAGAAGGTTGTTGGGTCAACCCCCATGGCCAGATTTGAAATCACATAGTCTAAGCTGTCACTCCAAATGCAATGCTGGGGGGTGCTGCATCTTCGGATGAGACGTTAAACCGAAGTCCCGACACCCTGTCCAGGTGGACGGTAAAGATCCCACACCACTGTTTGTAAAGAGATGGGAGTTTCTTCCAGTGTCCTGGCCAACAATCCCCGCAATAAAATTAAAATTGCTTACTCAGTCTATGGCTGTTTGTGAGGCACTGTTATGCACAAACTGGCTGCTATTTTTCACATAAAATACACAGTCAATCCACTTTACAGTATATCCTGTGAAGCACTGTGAGATGTCTCGACGACATGATAAGGCACTATATCAAATTCAAGGATCATTATCATCATTATTATTTTTTGTAGTTGAGGAAATCTATGGATTGTTTCAAATAAAGAAAAATAAGGGATTGAAAACAGTGAGGAGAATTATAATAGGTCAGGTGAAATTTGGGGACAAATCACTTGCCTGTAGAAACCAGTATTGCTTCCCTTTAGGAGTAGTTAGATTTACAACGTGGCACTAGAGATTTGTGATATTTTTGAGTACCAATAGTACAGAGTCAGTGGAAGAGTCGGGTTAAGGAGGGACAGTGAACCTGATACTTTTTATGGCTGGAGGTTTCATCTGCAGAAAGGAGCCTGTCTGAGAATCTGATCTAATTCGTATCACACTAGTGGCCAGGTGCTGAAGCTGATAACAGCTCTGATTGAAAATCATCCTAATTGAAGCAGCCACATTTGGATTTATTTGCTCTTTGTGTGATCATTACTTGACATTCAGCCAATGTAACTGATCCCATTTGGATTCACTCATTTCTGTGTTCGTCTCGAATTGAGAGCAGGCGTCAGGCCATCATCAGCCTGTTTGCACCAGCAAGAAAACGTTGAACTGAGCTGAGCCAGTCTGTGAATTCCAGCTGATCTGCTCTCTGCAGAAATGGGGCTGAATCTGAGCCTGAAAAAGCCTGAGAAGGTATGTTTTAAAAAGGATCATTTAAGTAAGGAATCAGTGCCTGAGAAGTCAGAATGTACAAGCGTATACACTGTATACAGCAACATGGTAGTGATGTGAGAGTGTTATTTCTTCAGTTACTCTCTTCAGTGTTATTATTGTGAAAGTTCAGTGTTCAATTAGAAGAGTATAAAGATCACACTAATTCTTCTGTATTGAACTATGTGGTAAAGTGCCTTTGCTGGAAGTGACAACTCAGACAGTTTAATTAAAGCACCATAGTCATTGCTTTCCTCAGTGGGATAACAAATGCTACGATAAGTTAGCTTGAGTGCAATGTGAAGAGATCAGCTCTGACTCTTTGAGCAGCAAATATTCCAGCTCATTGTGCTTTAATTGTAATGACTTCAAGAGATGCCACTTGTTATTTTGTTTATAACAAAAAATATGCTTAATATGCGTATGCATGAGTTAGCCCTGGAAATCATTAATCATCTATAGTATTTATTTTGCTCTCTTTGTGAAACAAATGGACTGCTATTCCAAGATTCAATGGAAATATATTCTGCCTTCAACAAATTTATTTAACCACTGTTGTCCTCAGAGAGGATAGTCTTCCAGTCGGCATATAAGGTTGGTCTGAAATGTCTCAAATGACTTATTATGTGATGATTGTAGTTTTTTTTATTGTGTATTACAACCCATTGAGTGACAAGCATCTCATTTGTATCCAGGTTTCTGACACTGTGTGACTTTACTTGGTACTGTGTTAAGTCTTGAAGTGTGTCACGTTTGGTTGTTTTATTTGACAGGTGAAAGAGGAATGCCGTCTTCTAAATGCCCCGCCCATTCCTCCACGAGGCACAAAAGGAGTTCAGACTGCAAGTCCACCTGTCCCACCTCGGTTCCCAAAGGCTCAACTGCAGCAAGCGCATTCTCCAAGCCCCAGCCTCTCCTATTATTCATCAGGTTTACATGAAATGTAAGTGATTTTCAATTCAATTATAGTTAAGAGTATTAATAAATATAAGTCGTGTGTGTAAACTCTGTGGCACCGCAGGGTCTGTTGAGCTCCTCTTTCCCTTCCTGGTTAAAAAAAATCTATGGATTAATTCATATTTGCTCAGGAAAGCAAATGAATTCCACCTTCCTCCCCTCCTTCACAATTCAATGAAAAGCGTACACTCATACAGGATTTCCACACCATTACACTGTCCTAAATCAAGAGAGAAGCATAACAACAACAAGATTCCATTTATGGAGCACCTTTCACGTCGGGAGGACGTCCCAAGAAAGAGGACGAAAGAAAGAGTGGAAAAGAAAAGACCATTAGGCAAATCAAAATCAAGTCTGCTAGTTCCACAAACAGTAATCCTCTGTTTTGCCCACAAAATACAAGCAGTCACACCACTTTACAGTAAATTCTGTCAAGTACTTTGAGATATCTCAATGACGTGATAAGGTGCTATATCAAATGCAAGGATGATTATTATTATTATTATATGGACTTCACCCACTGTATTTCCTGGGGAACACTTTATAGATACAGTTGGATTGTCAAAGATGATTGAGGACAGACCTGACTATTCATTCATCCCTATGTTTTCAATTATTCAACCCTGACCTCTTTCCTTCCATAGACAACATTATGCCTACTATTGCCCTTTCGCAAAACAACGGTTTGTTCCATGGAGTATTTGTTTATTTCAGCATGTCTATGGCTATATCCTCCAATACTATTCTTCCAGCTAACAAATAGCCCATGTTTCCTGGATATGAGTACATGTGCATTGAAAACCTTTATGCAGATCCAGGGACAATAATAGTTGATCAACACTTCATACAAGAGGCAAGTGTCAGCCTGATTCTGAAATCCTTTTGCCACAAAAGATCATAAAAACTAAATATCAATCAGAAAGCTTCCATTACACAGTATACTATTGTATATTGTAACTATTATTAAGGCAACAATTTGATTTTTCAAAATCCTAAAAAGTGCTGTAGTGGGGGTAATTGATGCTTGTAGTCCCAGTGTCCCTGCGAGTCCTTACCACAGAAATGAGATCTCTCATCAAAACTGAAGTCTCATGATTCTACACCGGTTACAAGGGATTTCCTAGGCAAAATACTGTTTATGTTGTGGCCATTTTGGGTTGCAGTCATGCAATGTTTACACCTCTAGAGTGTTTTTTAGATATCGATACATGATCAGTTTTACTAATGACAACCTTTTTTTAAATTTACTGTTTATAAAGAGTAACTAAATTCATAAAATAAAACTGACTAGATTGTTCACATTAGTAGAAGCGTGCCTTTACATACATCTCTCCCACTGCACTGTCTTGTACATATGGGAATATAATGAACACAACTATTACAACTTCAAACAAATGGATCTGTCAATGCATGGGCTATTTGCTAAATGCAGTTCTTTCTCGATCAATGACTGCCAGAGTTTAGTCTCTGGTTAGATGGGCATCATTGATCTTGCTTTTCTGGGTGCTATATAATCAATAGGGATGTTTTAAAAGACAGATACTAGGCTGGTAAGCAAATTAAGGAGGTTTGGTGAAAAGGTGGGACACTGGGATGAAAGATCTGGCAAAATCTAAAAAACCATCAGAGGAGGCTCATTTGGCTGAATAGCCTTCTGTATTCCTCCTATGTGTGGGAATGCTGAAAGCTATACCAGCATTAGAGAGAACCTATTGGGTGTAAGTTACATTCTGAATTTAATTTACCTGGGAAATTCCATTGCTAACTTTGCTCCCTATTAGTTTTGTTTAACTGACTGAGGAAATTTTACCAATGATTTTAAATTCACTAAACTGCAAGTAAAAAGGATCATGCAGTTCATTAAAGTTCATTGGAGGCCCAAGATTTAATCTGACACCTTGCTTAATCTATTGGGTTAAGGTTTAACTCTTTGTAACCCAAGGCTAAGTGGTCAAGGCTAAGTGCTGTTGAGTAGATTTATTTTCATAACGTGGTAATTAAATAAAAATAACAGGATTAATAAAGTCCCTCTTCAACACTACATGAGTACAAAGTGATCATTATATATTTCTTTCTGGTTTCAGGTCTGGAAATCGCAGTGGTAATGGCTCACCATCCCCGGACTCATACTCGCTCTACTGCTATCCTTGCACATGGGGAGACTGCAAAGCTATAGATTCTTCCAGTCATCCAGTGTCGGGGAATATTTCATCTAATATCCAGCCTCTGCAGCCTTCCTGGTCTGATCCGTGGGCGTACTCAGAGAATGTTCCAAATGTTGTCAGTGGACGACCTACACAGCTGGTTCCCGGAGATGCTGTCTTCAAAAGTTACTACAGCTGCCCCAGACTGAAACCGCCAGGCTCTCAGAAACGATTTGCCCCTTTTGGGGCATTGAACCCTTTTGCTAATCCTAATTACTCTTCTAGCCCATCAGCAGTGGAATGGTTGGAACCGTCTGACCATTACAAGTCTCCTTCTGCAACTTCAGAGCATTTTGATCCATATGACCTCACGGTCAGCCGTAGCTCTTCCCCCGATCCAGGCTCTATCCTCAATGCTGGAGACCTGAGGTACAACCAGGAGTTTAGAAACTGTATGCAGGACACATTGTACAAACAGACTGATAGCATATCTTGCCCAGTCCCACCTCCGCGCCCTCCAAAAGTCTGTGAGGCTGACAACAACATCATCATCAGAAGTACGGCTCCTATTTCTCCTACTATTGTGAGAGGTGCTGAAGGAGGTGTCACAAGGGTTTATCTCACTCAAGGAGTTATAGAGGTCCCACCTGTCTCGTCTAGAAGTAATGCAGAGATACCCATCTCCCTCCCTTTGTCTCATACTCCAGGAATACCCAGATTACATTGCAGTAGTTCACAATGGCACCCACCCTCTGATCTATCCAGTCTGTCAGTAGAGGAAGTCTCCAAATGCCTGAGGTTCATAGGTCTTTCAGAAGATGTGGTGACGTTCTTTGTGCGAGAGCGAATTGATGGAAGCATATTTGTTCAGCTGACTGAGGAAATTCTATCTGATGATTTTAAACTTACTAAACTGCAAGTAAAAAAGATTATGCAGTTCATTAAAGGATGGAGGCCCAAGATTTGATCTGATTCCTTGCTTAATCTATTGGGTTAAGGTTTGAATCTTTAACTCACAGAAGAACATCATTGAAAATTTGTGAGAATTTCTACAGAAGCACCTTTGGATATCTTTATTTAGCATCTCTAGATGGTTGAAGTGTCTCAGAAAATACTGTTTGTCATACAAAGTACAATTTGTGTCGTTTTAATGAATAGAAGTTATCAAAATATAATATGCTTTTGACAGTGAACAGTTTAAGACCACTTCCCTCTCCCATCTCCAGTATGGAAATAATCAAAGTATTAACTACATAATGCAATGCAATTTGTAGGATCAGGTATGAGCTAAAGAGTTGAAAATTCTTTCCACAATGCAATCAAAGCTGACTTACTGGATGTAGAATAATCATCAGTTTATGCAAGCAGCAGGCTAACATTTTTCTGGTCAAGCTCTGAACAATTTAATTAAGGTTTTATTGAAAAAAATTCACTGTTGGAGTGGTGAAATGTAGTTTGCTATTCTTCAATCATCAATTCTTCAAACACGTGCCTGCTGCACGTGTTACTGAGGATAAATTAGATTAATCATGGATACTTTCCTTCTAATAGTACTAATGAAACTTTGGAACTCAAAGTAAAAAACAGAGGTTTTATATTACAATTTATTGGTATGTTCAGACTTCAGTGACCATCCTCCCTCTTTCCCTTTTAAAAGAAAATCCAGAGTAACATTCACAGCTTGCAAGGTAACTATTATGCAACATGCAGTTATTGTGACAGCTATAAGAAGAAGATATAAAACATGTCCATGAGGGAATATATATTTGCCCCTTCTCCACAGTACACTAAACATATAAGACTATAATTTAGCACATTGTTTAAGATGGTAATTTCAGCTAAAAATATACCACTCTAACTCTGCTGTCTCAAAAACTGTGTAGTCTGTTATTTGTTGGCACCAATTCTGAATTATACCCTTTTAATGGTTATGGTTTTTCCAACTAATTTTTGGGAGATTTCTGAATATGTATATTTCTGAGCAAGCAAAATTTCTCAATGTAGATGTTCTTGTTGATATAATTTTGATTTTTTAACAATGAAAGTTGATAGTACCATAATTGTACTGAAATTCCCGAGTTCACGTCTAATTTAATCTATACAAATCAATACAGAGAATAGAAGATAAAAAAAGAAAGCATTTATGGCTCTGGTGTTTTACTGTGTGAATGGCAGTCTAAACTCTTGCTGCCTTCGTAACTTTTATTAGCTCAACAATGGAGTTTGCTTACCAGTGAATGCACAAGCACAAATGTTTGTTCTGCCTGACTTAATTTTATTTTTCTTAGTGCATGGCAAAGTGAGCGTTGGCAGCCATCTTATTCAATTGAATTTTCCTAATCCAAACAGCACTGATCCTAAGAAAGTAATGCTGGGAGAAGAGAAACACTGGTATCTATGGCTGACACTTTTTTGCACCAAAAAACAGTTATGCAATTAAATCATCAAAGAAAAAGCTCCTCTATGTTAGAGTGGGAAAACTACTTAAGGTGGAGCTGATGCTAACCAAGTATAACTTGTGCATGATTTCTTGATATCTGAACTAAACTGATTTGGCAATAGAGTGTTTTAGTTATTATTGTTTGTTGATACCTCATGGTGTTTGGAATAAGTCAAACAGGGATTGACAGCCTTCACATTGAGTGCTGGAACTATTTGTTCTCCACCAGACAGGATAGTCAATGTGTTCTGAAATCTTGTTTTCTTGTATTTTAATAGCCACATTCACAAAACCGTATGCATACAACAGTGAAGTAACATATATTAATTAGATATATTGCATTGTGATTTACACAATCTACCAAACAATATCTTTGTAACGGTCATTGGCACGGCTAAACTGAAACATTAATCATAGGATTAAAATAAGAATCCACTGAATTATCAGGCTCCCTTTTAAAAAAACAAGATGCATTGATAGCAGAAATTCAAACACTAAGCACAGGGTAAGCAGCTTGGTTGCTTTAAACCAGGATGTGCAAATGATCCAAAGTTCATTATGGTTTACCAGCTGCTTTTTTGTTTAGACTTCCAACAGTCTTAATAGGGTCCAATAAACACATCCATTTGATGGGCTTCATTTCAAAAGCTCACTGTTTGTTTTCAAATTCTGTTCATGTAAACTTAAAGTGGTAGGAAAGAACAAATATTCTTCAACATATTTCTGTTATTTAAGGAACCTGTCAGAGCATACCATGAAATGATTACATTGTGGAATAAGTAATCGTTGTTCTCGGGCAGACTTCAACGCTCCATTTAGCGTTCTAAAGAGTGGAATTTGCATGCAAATTTTACTCAATCTAACATTCGTTTGGAATACTAAACATTCTCGAATTCAACAACTCGCCTTGGATATCTTGGCCAAGATCCATCTCGGATGTGGCTCCAAGGCGTAAACCAACTTGCAGGCGGAGTAATTGAACAGTAAGTGAACTCCACTCTCATTCCTTGCACGTAATGGCATCTCTACTTCCTCCCACCTACTTTTGTCCTTTTAATAGCCAGTAAACAGCCTTGAAATGTTACCATCCTGTCCTCTGCATGACAGCTGGTTCACAAAATTAACAATTTAAAAAGAATATGAAAAAGATCTTATGCACAAGCAGTTGTGTTTTTTCTAAAGCACCACTAAAATTTAATTGTGCAACTGCTTTATACAAGGTAATCTAAATAAAGTACTTCCTTTGGCAGAAGCCCACATTTGAATACTGTTGAGAACGTTATTGTGCAGAAAAATGAATAAATCAAGCAACACTTTTAAACACGCAAAGATGAAAACCCTTAAGTTCTCTTGGTCCAGAGCTGGTCTGAAAACTGCTGTACAACTCGTGTTTAGAAGCTGAAATATTCTGTTGATCTATGATGATTGCTTTGAAGATGACTATAAGATACATAGCGATTAAGTGACACTGGATTTATTTAAGAAACCACTTGATGCTGTAAAATGAGGGTGGGTATTTTGGATTACGGAAAGATCTGGGTTTGATTCCCAGGCAGTGAGAAGCATTGGGCAAGTTTCCGAACTCCACCTACCAGTAAGTAGGAACCCGGTTGTTAGTCAATTGGTGGATCGCATTTCCAGAGGTAATATTCCCTTCTACAAAAATTAATAATTTGGTCACTCAATCCACGATTGTTTGTGGGACACTGCTGTGCATAATTGGCTGCCGTGTTTCACCTCCAAAATAGTCAATTCACTTTACAGCATAATCTACGAGATGCTTTGAGATGTCTCGAAGACATGATAAGGCGCTATCAAATGTAAGGATTCTTATTGTATGTTGCAAATGGCAGAGTTGCAAACAAAAGCAAAAAAGTAAGTATTGTGAGGATATTGTTTAATTGTATGTATGCATCTTCAGTTATTTGAAAGGATCTTACAATAATAATTCTTGCATTTGGTATTATAATAATAGTATAGCACTTTATCATGACGTTGAGAGCATCTTGTTAATTTATAATTCAAATGTTATCTTCAGTTTCTGCTTAAATAGCGTGAACATTTTATGTTACCAGAATTTAAAGGAATAATCTTAAATATTCTGCAGGTTATGGGGTTACCTCATGAAAATGGACGCCAAAAAAATGTTAAATAGTGTAGATCAATGATCCACACTATTACTTCAGAGCAGGTCTAGAGTACATAAATGAAACCAAATCTGAAAATAATATTTTGCCTCAAGTTACAGGAGTTAAAAAATAGTAAGTGAGAAAATAAATATAGAAAATGGAAGTAGCTGAAATATAATTAGATACAATGCAGGGATAGTTAATAATGTACCAGTTTTATGGGTTGAAATGCCATTTCTAATCTCTAACTGTTTATCTTTAGGGTGTAAGCTTAATTCAGTTGGTAGCACTCTTGTCTCTTGAGCCAAAATGTTGTGGTTTCAAAATCCAGTTCACAATCTAGGTTAACACTCCAATGCAGCGATGGGGGGGAGGTAATCTGTATTGTAGGTAGCGTTTTCCTTCAGATAACATGCTAATATGAGGGCCAACTTGTCTGATCAATTTTTTTGTCAGAAATTGCTTCATTGCTGTGTGCAAATTAGCAGCTGTGCTCAGCTACAAATACAGGCAGGGTATTTTACAGTAAATCTTGTCAAGTGCTTTGAGATGTTTTGTTTAGAAATCTAGCAACTCCAGTGTGATTGATCAGTATTCAAAACAGGTCAATACAGTTTGGAAAATAAACTAATCTTTTGCTTAATGGTATTTAGGTAGATTGCCCAGGAGAGCTGGGTTCCTGAAATTTATATGAAAGGAGCACCACCTGCTGGATGTTCATAGTGACAGAAGCCATTTTCTTCCCAGATTTTAAAAATATATAAATAAGATTGATGCATTGTGCTATCCAGCAACTTGAATTTCCATCAGCTATAGTAGTTTTAATTTTTTTTTCCCCAGCATTTATTCAATATTCAGTTCTTCTTTCACAGATAGATTGATTTGCTGCCATATGATTTGCAGGAATGTTCCAGCAAATCCATTTCTCCACCCAAATCTACACAAATGATGTACAATCACTGAACAGTTTTATTCCAGACAACATATCTAAACTGGGCTGTCTATTTGTGGAAATAGCTACAATAAAAGGTAATGTTAGACAGAAGACATGTCATAGTCAATACCAGTAACTGGACAAAAGTTGCTCTCCATTCATTACATACTGCCCATATATCACTCAGGGGTTCCTATTAAAAGAGTTTGACTATGATAGATCCTTCCACTATTTAAATACTTACCTTATCTCTCATTTTGCAAATTTGCCTCTGTGCCATCTTAATTAATATTCATCAATCAGATTTTGACACATGCAGAAACCCATCATTATGCCTTAAGTATCCAAACCAGAGTTCCATGCATGTCACCTACACATGGAAATTCCTGTGCTTGGAATGGAATGTGCACCCTATCCTGAAGGAAAGCATCCTGCTTGCCTAAATCTGGAGAGTATAAAGAGGTGCAGTTGGGCAAGAACCAAGGTTTGGGACCCCAGAGAATGGTTGGGGTACTGCTAGAGTTTTAACCAGCTAAACCATTGCCATTGAAAGCATTGTCTGGCAAGCTTTCCTGCTGCTTGTCCAGCTTGGGCTAACCTATCTATGAGGGACTTCGTTGGCAGGATTTCATAGGAGTCGAGTAGGAAGAATTCTATCTTCTTACCAATGAGCCAGGCTGGCTCGCCCGTCATACAATACAAAATTACATTTGTAAAGTGCCTTTCACATCAGGAGGACGTCCCAAGGTGCTGAACAGTCAGATTAGGACCCGAGCAGTGGGGTAAGGAGCGAGGGGTTGGGTTAGGATCAGGGAGGGTGGAGGGCAGACGAAGGCATAGTTGAAAAGGAGGATCTTGAGGTGTGCCTTGAAGGAGGCACGGGAGGGAGTGAGGGGAAGGGAATGTGGGATGGAGTTCCAGAGGGTGGGGGCAGAGAGGCTGAAGACGTGACCACTGATGGTTGGGTGGGCCAGGTGGGGGACATGGAGCAGGCCAGAGCCTGCTGAGTGGAGGGAGTTGTCAGGTTGATAAGGGGTTAGCAGGTCAGAGAGGTATGAGAGGGCAAAACCATGGAGGGCCTTGAAGGTGAGGACGAGGATTTTGAACTCGATCCTCTGAGGGATGGGGAGCCAGTGTAACCGGGCAAGTGTGATGGGGTCATGAAGCCTAGTGCAGGAGAGGACACAAGCTGCAGAGTTCTGGATAATTGTAGCTTGTGGAGGGAAGAATTGGGAAGGCTGACAAGCAGGGAGTTGGCAGTTGCACCTGGTTGTAATGAAGGCAATTATATGAGGGTTTCGGCGGCCTGAGGCAGTGGCAGTTGGGCAATATTGCAGAGGTGGGGAAGGCAGAGCAGGTCATGGCATGGATGTGGAGGAGAAAGGACAGTTGAGGGTCCAGGAGCTGGTGCGAGCCAATCAAAAAAGGCCTCAGTCTTGCTGACATTCAACTATATAAAGTTGGCTCTCATCCAGGACTTGATGTCAGTCTGTCAGGACATCAATTGTCCTGGGGTTGAAGGTGGAATCTGCATACATGTGGAAGTTGACCCCATGTCTGCGGATGATGTCACCAAGAAGAAGCATGTACAGGTTGAAGAGGAGAGGACCAAGGACAGAGCACTGAGGAACACCGCACGAGACATCAACAGTACCCTGGAGTACTGTGGACCTACCTGGCTCAGGACACTGCTACAGAGAGCCAACTTGATTCCAACATTTCGCTCGCAAAGTACAATCAATCTACTTTACAGCATATCCTACGAAGTGCTTTGAGACATCTCAACGAAATGGAAAGTGCTATATGAAATGCAAGTATTATTGTTATTAAATTCTATTGCAAGCAATCAATACAAATTTACAGTTATATAGCATCTTTCATGTACAGACGACGCCCCAAGGAGATTTAACACTGGCGGCTGAGCACCCAAGGCTCAGATCAGGGGAAAAGGGAGAGGGTGGGTGCAGGGTTGGGAAGGGCAATAACTAAATGTGCTATCAAAGAGGTATATCTTAATATGGACCTTAAACAAAGTTCAACTTCAACTCAGATGATTCAGCTTTAAGCACACCCCCGGGAGGACAGCCACAAGCTCAGGTTTGAGCCCTGACGAGGTACCAGGAACTCTCTGCAAGCCTCATGGTGAGCAACATAGCTTCCAGCAGCTGTCACCTCAGAATTCACCCATCAACTATCTGTCATACATTTGTCGTAGTGTGGCGGGAAGACCTTCAAATTAAAATTGAGTCCTTCAGCTCAGTGGTTAAGAGCACTCGTCTTGCAAGCGAGACACCTGGGTTCAATTCCAGGCAGGGCAAAACCTTGAGAAAGTTTCCTTACTCCACACGCCCAATAATAATCCCTCCAAAAAAACAATAATAAATTGATCATTTTCAATCGACTGTTTGTGGGACACTGCTGTGTGCAATTGGATGACGTGTTTCACCCACAAATATACGGTCAATTCACTTTACAGCATATTCTGTGAAGCGCTTTGAAACGTCTAGAAGATGTGAAAAGCGCTATCAAATGCAAGGATTATTATTATAAATTGTTTTATAACTAAGCCTCCACTACATTCGAGGATATACTGATTGTTGATAAACATCGGCTGCTTGAAGAATAGATCCATCTTTCCTTTGGGTTTTCAGTCTCTTAAATCTGTTATTCCATCTACATGCATTGCACACACAAACTCACCTCTCTTTCTCAACATTTTTCTTCTTAGGTTGTATGAAAGTATCCCGCACTGCTGATCTGAACGTTTATAGAAATTGTCTACCTGGAAGCACATTTTATCAGTTTTTTTGGAAGAGGAATACATGTGTATTTAAAATACTGATATAGAATCTTAAAGCGTGTATAGCGTAAGATGGCATTCCCAGTGCTGATGCTAGCTGCAGTCAAAGTGACTCTTCATATGTAAGCAAATAGAGGTTATGTGTGCATACCAAGGTCCTGTAAATAGCCATGCAGTAAACTGCCAATTTATCTAGAGATGAAAAATTCTCATTGCCCTAGTTATTGGTCTCTAAGTCGGCTAATAGGAAATCTACCTCTGTGCGATTTATTCTCACTGGCCTAATTAGAGCTAAAACCTTTTGCTTGGTTTCAAGATGCCAATAAAAGACTAATTGGATACAAACTAAATAAACATGCCCTACTGTTCTTCCTCAACAAATCTTCAGTTGGTCAGGTCAATGCTTGCTCAAGCTCATTAGAGGGCATGTGAACAGTTTAGATTTAATTTTTATGGGGAGGATAGTGAACATGTTGTCTAGCCTCAGAATATTTCACATCTGAGGTTTATAATAACCATTCCAATTAGTGGCAACAAAACCTATCTACACACAAATTCCAAAACACCTTTTATTTTTACACATTGCATTGAAATGGCGTCAATCATTACTACTCGAGTAGACAAATTGACAATACGAACTTACCAAGATTCAAAAAAATTGAGTGGAAACAAATCTACAATATTAAGTGCATAAATTGAAGGTGTGATTTTAGGCAACAACACATTCTTGCATAGTGTAACTGAAGGCACTAATCAAAGCAGATTCAGGCTGAACTATTCAATTTTAAAAATGGGCATAATTAGACTGTATACTCAAGAACCTCATTTAATATCAATGAAATTATTTAACAGTGCTACCTTATGTATACATTTCTCAAGAGAAATGTGATCTGAACCTCTTGACAGCATCACAATTTTGTTTATATATACATATTTATGTAGCAGAATTAATTCAGTAATTGTTAACTGCAAGCTTTGGTTTAATGGTGGAATTTCTTGTTAGTGTCTTTAGCATGGTCCAGCAGCAACTGACAAGGTGTGAACTCATTTCCAAAAATACTTTCATACTTCTTCATCTTGTCAACAAGATTGCTTGCTCCGTAGCTATCTACATATCTGAATGGCCCTAAAATGGATGAAAATACACATTAAACATCTATTTTTTTCTGAATATTGACATCTATAAGCAAATATTTAACATTTGTGCAATACTAAACATTTCTCTATCTGTTCTAGAGCTGAAACTTCATTTTTAGTATTGTTTCAAGGTATCCACAAACAGCTAAATAGTTAGCCATGCCTAAGATTCTTTCTTGAGCATCTTCTTCATGATATTGTTGCTTTTCTCAGGTCAGTTAGCCATTCAATTGATAAGGATACTTGAATCAAAAGCTGCAACAACTGAATTTAATCATCGTCTTATGCACACCAGCAAATTTTATACCATTGTACTCAAATGCACAACACACTTGGTGGCACTAGATATGGCTGTTATTATACTGAACCTAAATTACAAAAACATACAAAGAATTTTAGCTGCTTAGTGGCTCATACTGAATAAGTCCTTTGCTCAAAAGCAACAGGTGTCATACCTCCAAGACATGGTGGGAATCCCAGCCCAAAAACAGCACCGATATCTCCTTCAACTGGGTCACTTAGAATTCCTTCCTGAAGGCATAAAACGGCTTCATTCACAAATCTGCTCACCAAGCGCAACTGAATATCGTTATCTGATGAACTGAAAAGGGAAGAAACATGCGAATCAATTTTTACCAACATGAGCGTATTTGGATTTGTGCACCCAGAAATAATATTTGAAAGAACCTGAATAAATTAGTGTACAGTTAAAATAATTTTTACTTGGACATTAAAATAAAGGCTCTGCATTATCTTTCAGAAGTAAAAATACGTAATGGAGGATTTGTCCTCTTTTGTGATAGTGGATATACTCATTAACTTAAAAATACACTACATATTAGTTACTCACACAGGAAATTGTGTATTAATGCATCAATTTATAATGCAAATTTAAATTCAGATTTTTAGACAAAATAAATCTGAGGGATATGAGGCATTGTTGAAGAGGATCGCTTAATTTATACTACTGCAAGTTCTTTTCAAATACACACTGCGCAACCATTACCAGTTCTAGACAAATGCAATTTTTAAAAAAATCAACTTGTATGTACACACACACACACATTATATATTAAAAAAAAGCATCAAAATACTAAGTGACCACAGGCATTTAATGGCACAAGCAAGTTATGCTTAGAGCACAAATAAGTGATTTACTTTTTAATAAACAAAGCATCAACCACCTGCCATGCTTTCTAGGAGCACTTTGAATATGAATTCTTCCCCAATCGTAATTTAGTTTATGAGCCATTTATTGTGATCCAAGCTAATATCAAATCTTGGAAGTGAGCAAGACATGTACAAGTGAGCAAAAATGCATGTAAACATGTATATTTACACTGATCCTGTAACCAACATATTGTATTTGAAACACGTATTTACAACTAATTAGATCACAATTTTACTCACGCAGCAGGGTTTATAGGCAGCTTAAACTGCTCTAGGATTTCCTTTGCTCCTGGATTCAAAGCTCTGGTTTTCGAACCGGGCTGATAGATGAAGTTGCCCTTCCCTGACTTGCGTCCTGAAATAAAAGAGCCACAGCTAATTGAAATAGGGTACACAGCAATAAGGGACTGATCACCCCATTTTATTTATTGTTTTTAAATTTAGCGTGTCAAATTATTTCCCTGATTTTTGCCCCATTGGCATATGCCTCTGCTCCTGTTCTCCACCTTTCTCTTGGTGGGGTGCAGTTTCACAGGCACTGGTTATACTCCAGTACCTCACCCAAATGGCTATTGTTCACATGCCCTCAATAGCAAATGTGAGCAGGCCATGTGACTGTAGAGGGCATCACAGCCACGCCCAACCTCTGTTCCCCTGGCGAGTCTACATCTGGGAATGCCTGGGCCAATTCAGTCTCCATTTGCGACCCCAGCCGAGAGCATCAGCACAAACTAGGATTCGACTGAGCAAGATCCCTTCTAAAAGCTGTAAAGCTACAGCTTTACTATCCACCGCAGCATCAGGGCTATTCGCACTTTCACCAGAGTAGCAAATCTATAGGTAGCAAATATATAGCCAAGAGAGATCTTGGGTTTCATTTGGGTCAGTCAATTTCCCTATTGCAACGAATTGTAAACATACCTGTGAATAATAAATCAACCACTTAATTTCCAAGATGTGGTTCAGAAATGAAGCAATTAGGAGTTCTAACAGTTTACTGCCAAAAGTATCTTAATCCATAAAAATTTACGGCATATAAGGCAGCAATTCGACCCATCGTGTCCGTGCCGACTACCTCAAGAACAATTGATACCCTCCAGTTACTGCAGCTTGAGCCAGTGTTTCCCAATCCAGATTTCTATCCAGCCATTTTATGAACTTGAGTGACTGGATTGATTTCATTTGTGACTTGAGATAGCATTCCATTAAAAAGGAGTTAAATAAAATGTGGGTTGGAGATCATCATATCATACGGTTAGTGAGGATACAATGCTGAACATAGTTCTATTTCAATTACATGCTTTCCACTCCTAGGGGATGAATAAATGGAGAATCATCACATTTCTAAGCTGTATTTAGACGAACTACATCACATATAGTTTTACTTACCCAAAAATCCCTTTGCTACCATATTCTTTAGTACTTCTACATTTCCACCTCCCATTCGAGCGCCAAAGACTTTCCCAAGATCTTCTGCAACATGGGCTGCTACATCAATACCAACTTCATCAATCAGTGTAGCAATGCCAACAGGAAAACCAAAGCCAGTTGTAAGTGTATCAAGTTTCTTAGGATCACCCTCTTCCTGGAAATGAGACATAAATATCTAAATATTTACACAAAATAAACCTGGAAACCCTTCAAAGAAAACACACACACAAGATTTTACGAGTTTACCCAGATTTTTGACGACAAGATAAAGCAAATTTCTCCAAGCATCCTGACGAACAATCATAAGGTCATTCGCTTTGTGGCTGTTTGATGGACATTGCTGTACTCAAATTGGCAGCTATCTTTGCCTATAAAATACACAGTCACTAACTACCTGTGAAGCACAACAAGACGTCCCCCTTTATGAAACGACCAAGCTTTCAGCCATTTTTCCCCTACCCCAACCCCCACCTCGGGTGTAAATCTGAAAACTGTCCAGTGCCTTGGGAGGTCCTTCCAATGTGAAACAACAACAACAACAACAAGATTCCATTTATAAAGCGCCTTTCACGTCAGGAGGACGTCCCAAGGCGCTGCAAAGCCGCTATATAAATGTAAATTTGTATTGTAAATGTAAGGATTATATTAATACAGCAATTATTTAAAATGAGTCACTGAAAAGGATATAGTGATGATCGATTTGGGAAAAGGAAGACATCTAATCAATCTCTGAACAACCATGAGGTCCAAAGAAATAACATTTCCCTGTAGCAACTCCTTTCCTTTTTAAAAACATTTTAGCTCCAATATTGATGTAAACACAAATGCAGCAATAAACCTACTTAAATGTAAGGAGTAGCTCCATTTTATTTCTACAATAATGAGCACCTAACCAATTGATTTTTGAACAACACATTCACAGTTTTCCAATTATTTTATGACTAATTTGTCATTTATATTTTGGCTAAAAATTAAAAATGATTCCGTAACAATATACTAACAATAATTTATATAGCACCTTTCCAAGTCAGGAGCACGTCTCAAACACTTAACACTGCTGGCTAGGTACCCACATTCTTCACCCTTCAGTCTCCCACCAAATGTTTTGCAGATTGGAAGAACTTTTATTTTAATTCATAGGCTGAAATTAACTTAAAATATTTTTTTATCCGAACAAGGTCCAAACAAATCCAAATAAAGATCAATATGTTCATAATACAAGTTCATTGTCTCAGCAGGTTCTCAGTACCTCATCCAAGGATCCTGCACTCACTCAACAATAGGAAAATCTCCTTTCAAAAAATTAAACCAGAGATTCCTCTCCTGATCTCTGTCCATTGACTGAGGCTGGAATGTACACATCTTAACCACAAGAAAGAACATAAGGCTCAAATTGTAGGCACCTGTCTAAAAATACAGTTACATAAAATTTCTGTGAAGCACTTTGAGATATTTGAACGTGATAAGGTACCATATCAAGGATTATTTATCTATTTAAAGTGTGACGCCTTTCATGCTCAATAACACATCAATTCTCATGGATCATACATGGTTAGTGGCAATGTATTGGCTGCCAAACTCCATGGATTCCTCCAGAGTAGGATTTAAAGCAGGAGAGAAAATGGGTGAAGGAGGCAAATAAATTTGTTACTTTTTTGGTAAACGATATAACAATGTGTACACTGCACATTTAAAAAAAAAATCAATATAATATTAAAATAAAGATACAAAGGTTTGAGCCAAACACACCTGTAAGATTCTGATCGCTTCTGCTAACGTAGGTGCAAGACATCTTGTGGTATAGAAACCAGGGCCATCCTAAAGAGAACACAGCACGGTTGTGGCATTATTTCCTACCAGGAAGCCAGTGAGTAAAATATATAATTCAATCAAATTCTCAACTTTCACCTATCCTTTTTTTGAAAAAAAACTTTGTTCATACATACCAAGTTTGACATTATCCATACTAAAGTATCCAAACTACTGCAAATAAGATGTATGTTGCCATTTAATAGGCAGTTTCCTTTTCAGGAAGAAAAGTATATAACACGTGCATTTAAAACAGAAAACAATTAGTTCAACTTTGAGAAACATAAACAGAGCAAGTGATACAGAGAATTTAGTTAAAACCGTCAAAATACAGTACAAAGGGAGACAGGGGCACTATTTTGGAAGGTCATGCAAGGGAGCCAGGTCAAGTGACAACCGACTGAATTTGGCCATTTGAGGCCACGAAGCATTGAGTGACATTTTGTGAACAGGACAGACATCCAGTAGAATGCATACATGAATGTCCTGCATGGACTGAATATGTCAGAAATCAGGTATAGCTCTGCATGGCAAACCAAAGATTCTCTCACTCCACTATCTGCTACATGGTTTAGTTAGTTTAACTATATTAATCTAGTTACAATTAAGAAAATATTGATAATGATGTAATTTAAACCTGTTAAAATCATTTTATATTAGTTTAACCAGCAAGCTCAAGATAAAATAATCGATGCAGTTAAGAAACTAAATGTATACACTAGGCAGAAGGAAATAGGGGGATAGGAAGGGAGGAGGCTTGTGTGGACTGATTGGGCCGAATGGCCCATTTCCATGTTGTATCATTTTATGTAACTCAGATTTTAAAATAGTGATAGTGGATAGTGAGTACGACTACAACGTTATCAAATGTCAGAATCATTTGGGAGAAATAATTTTACGTTCCACAAACAGTTAGGTAATGCAGATTAAATTGAACTTCAAAACACACCACAGTAAAGATACAAAAATCATTGAAATAAAATGGCCATTTAACCTTTACGACAATGATGACTTTTCCCTGCTTCAGACCAAGAGCTACAGCTGCTGCAGTTGTATCCTTGGAGGTTTGATCTGTGGTGATGATTTCCAGGAGCTGCATCTTGTCCACAGGTGAGAAGTAGTGCATGCCAATGACCTGGATACCAGCAGGAAAGGAGAATATTACAACTGAGCAATGGCTCAGATGACTTAAAACAGTCAGATTATTCCAAAATGCAACATAATTATAACTTTAATTTTTTATATTAAATACATCAATATTAATATCAATACAAATAGTGTATACAAATTAATATTTAAAACACTTTCAGTTCTTTGAAAATGGAATCCATTTTCTTACTTTACATTTTCTGTTGTCCTATAATTTTAAGACGTCCACCCAATATGAAACAACCAGATTACATTTGTATAGCGCCTTTCACGTCCCAAGGCGCTGGACAATGTACAGCATTTCAGACCTGAGCTGGGGTTGGGGGGGAGAAGGGAGGTGACCAATGGCATGGTCGAAGAGGAGGGTTTTGAGGCGGGACTTGAAAGGTGCTACATTAAATGAAGGAACTATTACTATTAAGAAAAAGTACCTTTCATTATTGCTTCATGAATGTAATAACCAAGACTTTGTCACATACCTTGTCTGGTCTCTTACTGCCAGCGGCAATTTTAGAAATTGGTAGAGCTGACGTATTACTGGCAAATATACAATCAGGAGAAATATTCTGCAAAGAAAATCATGGAATAATATTAATTAATGAATTTACTTTTGCCGATTTATACATCAATAATTTGCCAAATGATTTGCAAAGCAATGTGGGGTATATGACAATTATTTAGACAAACCTGGATTTTTAGTGCACATGTTCAAGCCATGGAAAGGAATAATGCTCTACAAATGGCAAAAAGACACTGTAGACATTTTTACAGCACAGAAGGCAGCCATGTAGTCCATTGTGTCTACAAATAATACAATTCAGCTTCTGATAGTGTAACTGTGCAGACTACTGATAAAATTACTAACAAATATTTATAGGTTTTTGTAGCAGTTAGGTATTCAAACATTAGTTTAATTCAGAGAAACACTTCCTGTATATTAACTGTGCAGAGCATTTGAAATTTTTCCCACCTGAGTATTTGATAATTTTATATTTACACTCAACCTCCATCTAACAGACCTCAATTAACTGGAAATTCAGACTTAGCCAGTCTGTCTGGGGCGGGAGGGGGAGGGGTGGGAGGGGGGAGAAAACATTCTGTTATCCTAGACGATTTCAAACTCCCGCCAGCCCAACTCTCCTGGTACAGACCCACGACACGGACCATGCAGCTGACATGAGGCCCACAGGGCCACACTGATTGGTTTTGCCAAGGGCATCAACACAGCTACATTGCATCCGTGGTGAGAACAGAACTATATAATTTTTGTTGTCTATTTTATTTTTTATGCCAAACAGTGAGCTCGAAAATCTAACTAGCTAGACTAGATCTCCCCCCATCCTTTGCCAGAGGTTGACTGTATTACAATTGCTTACTATCCTAATGAATGCCCTTTTCCCAAGCTACAAACCAACCAAAACTCTTCTCATCTGCACTAAGTTTTGCATGCCCAAAAATTCTGACCTTGCTGGGCTCCTCTAGCTGATCAATTCCAAAATCTTCACTCACATTGACAAATCCCTTCAAGACCTTCCCCATTTTCGTAACTTTCTGCAGCCAAACTCTCCTGCTCACAACCTTCGCTCGGAAATCTCACGCCTATTGCATGAACAGACAATCTGAAACACCCAACCTAAATCTATTATTATAAATCTCTCTACCAAGTTCCACCAATTGTCATTGGTCTCAACTGTGCCAACAGTCAATCTCCCTTCTCCCCAGGTATCGGTCATCAACTCTGAAAAGCACCTCACAATGTTATCCTGTTATATAAATGCAAGTCATTGTTGCAACACTCACGGCTTCAACCTCCTTCAGAACACGATGTTTGATTTGTAAGTCTTCAAATACCGCTTCAATCACCATGTCCGTGTTGTGAAATCCACTGTAATCTAACTGACTGTTCAAGTTTGACAGAATCTGATCGCGCTCGAATGATGTTAATGATTTCTTTTTCACTTTATCAGTCAGCCTATTTAGATACCAATGAGAATTCAATTGTTACAGTAAAGCTGTTTATCCAGCGATTTCAGTGCTTCATTAGACAGTTCAGACACCTAAACTTTTTCAGACCCGCAATCTTTCTTTACCAACTGTGAGAACAACTATTCAAACGAATAATAACTTGTAGTTCAAACATTTCAGAATATTCAAGATGAAAAGTTCACAAAAGAAATCATAGTTTTAAATAAAAAATAAACAGAGCATCTAAGAATGAAATAAAATGTTATTTTAATTATTACAAACATTAACAATAAACTATTTCAGTTAATTGAATCAAGTGTTTTTTCCACATGCATTACATTCAAAACAAATTTGGGAATGCTGGATAATATATCCATTATTCAAAGGACAAATATTGAATGTTATACTAATCCATTTACGTACCCTTTGTAGATTTGCTGTTGCCCTCTATCAAGACCTTCCAGAGTAGCATCCTTCAGAATAGTTCTAATATTTTTATCTGTAGTGACCTGTGCAATCCCAGCTCCCATAAGACCAGCACCTAAAATAGCCACTTTCCTAAAGAAAGAAATAACCATTGTAACAATTACCAATGCCCCATCACAACTGTATATTAAAAAGATTATACACAGGAATTTTTCTATTTAGTCACAAGAGTTTAAAGGAAATACCGTAGAAATACTTTCAAAACAATATACAAAATAACATTGTGTAATGTTAATATCAAAAGAAAACATTTGGGAGACATACCAATGTATACAAGAAAAAAAAGTAAAGTTGAACAACCTTAGCCAGATTTGGCTAGACCATTGAAAACAATTTTAAACAAAAATTGCACTTACTCCAAGTTCTTCTGTGGACTTCCAAACTTGTTCTTCTTGCAGGCAACTTGCCCATGATAAAGTCCAATAAGAGCTTTTGATTCATTCGTCATTGCCAGTTCTCCAAATTTCTACTCAATAACAACAACAAATTGCATTTATATAGCACCTTTCATGTCAGGAGGATGTCCAAAAGCGCTGGACTGTCGACAGCTTGCACCTAAACTGGGATTGGATTTGGTTGTGGGGGCCAAAGGGGGATTGTGGTGGGAAGATGACTGAAAATGCAGTCAGAGGAAGGTCGCGAGACGGACCTTGAAGAAAGGGAAAGAACTCCAGGATGGAGTTCCACAGAGAGTGGGGGTAGAAAGGCTGAAGGCCAGACATTCGATGGTGATGGTGAAGAAGGCATCAAGCAGAGGAAGTGGGCATGATGGTAGGGTTTTAGAAGGTCACAGTGGTAGGGTGGAACAAGACCATGGAGGGATTTAAAAGTGAGGACTTGAACTCAATCCTCTGGGGATGGGATCCAGGCAAGGATGGGGTTTAAACACTCTAGTACTAGGCGGGACAGCGTAAAACTCATCTTTTTTCTGGCTATCAAGAACCTCTTGGCACAGGTTTTTAAACATTTTTAAGTAAAATGTATTGCATTATACACCTGAAGTAATGGTGTACTCCTTTTAATATTTTTCTATTTCACATTAATCCAAGCAGCAACTAGTGAGTCACATTGGAAATTCATTAGTAGCACAGTAATAGCATTGGTAGTAGCACAGTACAGCAAATATTATATAATAATTTATATTATTTTCGTTAATTACCTGCGATTCAGCCAGATACCCAGCATTTGATCCATTCTCCAATCCAGTCTTCACTACCTAAAATAATGTAAAATCAATAGTTTGAATTCCATTAATGTTATTGAAAGACAAAATAATCTTAAGGCTCTATAAAAGTGACATTTTCAATCATTACCTCAATTATCTTCAATGGAGCAGGATAGAGTCCTTTTGTCTGCTTCTTTACCTTTTCTTCCACCTTTTTGTAGATCTGTTGTCTAATGAAAGGGAAACTCATAACCCAATCCTGCAACTCTGTATTAAATCAAATTAAAAGTGAGTACACTAGAAAAAAAATCTCTATACCATCATTTGATAAATCTAAATAGGAGTATTCTACACTGTACTATAAAAGCAGCTTTTCATTTCAGCCTTGAATGTATTCAATTTAAGTTATGGACTGCATTTACTTATGTTCCAGTATTGCGGATTGTTCTCCTCAAGGATACCAGTCAATATACAATAAACTTAATAAAACCACCACCAAATATACAAAATGAAACTGGAAATAATTTAGTAGTTTTTAATAATTAAACAAAAATCTAAATCTAAAATGCAATCTTCATAATTGTTTAACAAATACAGTAGACTGTTTTTCAAAATATAGGCGGCATTACTAAATTAAGTATTTATAATGTACTTCAACCATTCTTGAATTGCTATCTATTCAGTATTTCAAATACAAGGACTTACTGTCAAATAGTTTTTTCTCCCGCTTAAGTGAGATCTGCTTGTTTGCAATTCCTCTGGCATAATGAATTGCTGTTTCTTCTAGGTATTCAATGGTCCCTTCCTCTGGAGTCTTCAAACCTGGCCCTTAAAATACATTATATATAGTGTATAATATATATTTTTAACTGCATTAAAACCTCTACATTTATATACAACAATTTTTCCACAATATCTAGAATACATAACAGCATGTGATGTAATCTAGCATATTCAATGCAAATGCATTTTACGAGCTACAAAAGGTCAGTCAAGTAACCTCAAGGCATTTTATAGCAGAGCAACCAAAAACATTAAAAGGTAATAGGTGTTAAAGATAATATGTTACTGTCACTAAAAATGCCTTTTGCTTATTCCATTAATTGTTAAAAAGTGAAAAAAATCCTGGATACTTTAAATATAATAGCTTACCAATTGTATTAACTAATTGGTCAACCAAACCCATTCGCTTTGCTTTATCTGCACGGATATTTCTCCCAGTTAACATCATGTCAAAAGCATTAGGAAGGCCAACCTGACAAATAAAATAATTGGTTTTAAAAAGTGTTTTGAAAGGTGAACCAGCATATTAAGATTCAATCTTTAAAATGTAAATATTTTATCCAAATGTTTGAATTCAAATTTCTTTTGTATAAAGATGTTTTCAATAATAAATCAAATATACTTTCCAGTATATAATTACACCCGCTCTTCATATTGCTAATTTTCTATTTTCTTATTTATTTCTAACTTTCAGATATCAAAACTATGGGTTCAAACAGGTTAAAATAATGATAAAGGTTTAATAATCTAACGTACAATGAAGTGGAGGATCCGGTCTTCAGAAATTTAATTCAGAAAGTAATGCAAAGGAAAAATACAAATTCAGCCACCTGGTTCTGCAACTTGCATTCAAAGGGAGTTCAAGAATCACTCTATCTAACTATAGTTGTAAAAGGCTCAGCTCAAAATCTTTATAGAAGGGGTTAATTTTGATCAAATGTACAAAATTCATACGTTCTCTGAACTTCTAGTGTCTGGTCAGATAACCTTAAGAGATGATAGCTTCCTCAAAGCACCTCACAAGTAATGTGCAACCTACTATATATCTAGCTCTTCACAATTAAAAGAAATCTTAGTAGCAACTAGGAATCCAAATGTGGAGCTGGAGACATCAATTAATCTGAGATAAGCAACAGAATACCTGATTGAAAGTGTCAATTGGCCCATGATAAATGAGGCAAATAAGAATGAGCCAGTGAGCAAGGCAAACTGCGAATACGATTGGAAATCATTGGATTGCCCTCTTCCACAAACTATGAAAAACTATATTTGCAGAACCTTAATAATAATAACCTTCATTCTGAACAGAGTAAAAATAACAACAACAACTTGCATTCACATAGCACCCTCCACGCTGGCGGAGCCCGAGGCCGAGCCAGGGGGAGGGAGAAGGTGACCTACTAGAGTAAGCAAGTAAAGAAAGAGAATAATAAAAATATCCTTTGACTGTTTTCGGATAGTGTGGCACAAGTTGACTGTCATATTTAGCTACAAATAAACAGTTATTGCAAGCAACAAACAACAATTGACTTCTTGTTAAATTACAGGTGCAAGGATTATTATGATCAAGCAATGATTATTTAATTTTTGTATTGCATATTAATTTACACATTAACAATTACCATTTTTGGCAGTCTCTGAGTGCCACCAGCTCCTGGCAGCAAACCAAGCATGACTTCTGGGGTACCTAGTACAGTCTTTCTGTCCTTTGTTGCAATCCTATATTGGCAGGCGATTGCAACCTGTAACAAAATGTAATAATCATAAAATTAATCCATTCTAACATAAAATGAAAACAATATATTTTAACACGTTACTCTTGCCTACTGGATGAAGGCATACTTTTCAATGCAACACCTAAGCGATATACTGTATAACAAAAGATTGCAGGCCTTAGTACTGATCTGTGCTTGAGATAGTTTCTCTCAAACAGAGAAGTCGGGGTGCTATAAATAGTCACAAGCAACCATATGCTAGGGAGCAGGGCGGAGAAAAGTCAGAGGTCCGACTCCATTAATGCTTTCTGTGAAGTGTGCATGGGTAGATGTCAGAAAAGGACACCAGTCAGCTACAAAGTCCCAAAGTCAAATAGGCTCCTAGATAGCACTCACTCTCTGGATTCACATGAATAAAAATATGTAAGATGTTCAGGTGAGGGGAGAAGAGAAAACTGAATGAAACAAATTAAGGAAAAAGGTTTAAGATTGTATACCTCCAATCCACCACCAAGACAGGAACCATTTATAGCAGCCACAATGGGTTTGACAGATTTCTCAATCTTTTCAAACATTCTCTGTCCCTCCTGAGATAATTGCGTCACTTCTTCAGCAGTTTTACACTGTTCGATCATTCTGCAATTAAAACAAGTCATTTTTCCTAAGTGTCAATATCTGCTTCCCAAACCACCATGTTTGCATGTTATTGCAGCTGTTAGTTATAACACACACATACCCCAACACAAGGTGAAATGAAACCCCAAAAACTTCCTCAATATCCCATGGTACAATAGTACCTCAATTAAAGACCCATTGTATGATTTATGAGGCTGGCATCCATTGCTGCACTTTTATGCACATTGTCAGAAATATACCATTAAAAATACAATAAAAGCATGATTTTTCTATGTCCCAGGCTGTTCTTGGCACTGCATGTAGCTTAAGTACAATGCCAAGCCATATGAACCAGAAAAGCTCAGGTACAATTCTTGGTCTGTGCTGAATTAGCTGATCTTAACTGAGATGGCAATAGGAACAGTAAGGTAGCAATCAAACTTCTGAGACATCCAGGTAAAGCTTGGAGCAGAGAAGGTTAAAAGTCACACATAAGAGCCTTGTACGCAAAATAGAAGCCCATGGTACTAAAGGGACAGTGGCAACATAAATACAGAACTGGCTAGAAGACAGAAAGCAGAGAGTGATGGTGAACGGTTGTTTTTCTGACTGGAGAGGAGTGTGTCCCCCAGGGATCAGTATTGGGACCACTGCTGTTTTTGATCTATATAAATGTCTGGACTTGGGCATAAGGAGTACAATTTCCATGTTTGCAGATGATACTAAGCTAGAAAAAGTAGTAAATAGTGAAGAGTTCAGTAGCAGACTGTACGGGGACATAGACAGACTGGTAAAATGGGCAGACATGTAGCAGATGAAGTTTAATGTAGAGAAATGCAAAGTCATGGATTTTGGGAGGAAGAATGAGGAGAGGCAATATAAGATGATGGTACAATCTTAAAGGGGGTGAAGGAACAGAGAGACCTGGGGGTTAATATAAGTAAATCTTTGAAGGTGGCAGGACAAGTAGATAAAGCTGTTAAAAAAGCATACAGGACACTAGGCTTTATAAATAGGGGCATAGAATACAAAAGTCAGGAAGTTATGATGAACCTTTATAAAACACTGGTTAGGCCTCAGATGGAGTACTATGTTCAGTTCTGGGCACCACATGTATGGAAGGATGTCAAAACATTGGAAAGAGTGCAAAGGACATTTACCAGGATGGTATCAGGAATGAGGGACTTCAGTTATCAGGAGAGGCTAGAGAAGCTAGGATTATTCTACTTGGAGCAGAAACGATTAAGAGGAGACTGAATAGAAGTTTTCAAAATTATGAGGGGATTTGATAGGGAAACAAGGAGAAACTATTTCCACTGGCGGGTGAGTCGGTAACCCGAGGACACCGATTTAAAATAGTTGTTAAAAGATAAAGAGGGGAGGTGAGGAGAAATGTTTTCACACAGCGAGTTGTTCGGATCTGGAATGCATTGTCTGAAAGGGCGGTGGAAGCTGATTCGATAACAACTTTTAAGAGAGTAGATAATTATTTGGGGAGGACAAGTTTGCAGGGCTATGGGGAGAGATCGGGGGAATGGGATTGATTCGGGTAGCTCTTTTCCAAGAGACGGCCCAGACATGATGGGCCGAATGGCCTCCTTCTGTGCTGGATAATTCTATGAAAAAGCTAATAAATCAATGTTTTCAATGCTTCACTCAAAAATGCAGGAATCCAACCCCGCAAATGAAGACACTTGACAAAGAATGTCAATGAAGAATCTGTAATTCAAGTTTATACTCATCAGATCAATCCTGAGTAATACACACTATTTATCTAACCCTTTCTTGACTTTTGAATGTTTGTACTACTTAAAGATTTATCTCAGAAATCTAATTCTAATTCTGCTGGCTCACCACTGGAAAATGTTGTTATCTTTTCCTCAAGGATAATCTTCCATTACTTCAGTCTTCCTAGCCATGCCTAACTGCTGTGATTCAGGCAAATTTCATGCTCTGAAGTATGCTTGGTGAAAACATGACAGGTAGACATGATGGTCAGTCTCTATAAATGACCTCACTTCACCCCTCCAGACAGAATCTGTAGAATTTGAACATTACCATTGACAAAATAACTAGCGATTACACTAGTACTGAGACCTAGGAAACAACAACGAAAATGTCACTGTCAGAAGGGCTAAGTGTTTATTAGCACATATTAAAAAAATGTCACTGCTTCGATGGAAGGATTACAAACAATTCTGTGAATTAGCCTATAAACATGGTATTAAATATTAAGGGAATTGGGCAGAATCACCAGAAAATAATTTGGATTCGGAAAAGATTTTATATGCAAATTATGGTCTGAAAGGATTCTTTAAAAAAATGTAACTAACTTACTTGATGTCAGCACCAGCAATGAAGCAACCTGGTTTAGTCGAGATCAGAACAACACTTCGAGCAGCATCATTTGACCAGATTTCATTCATTATCTGAAGAAATTCTGATTGTAGCTGTTGGGACAGGGTGTTCACCTGTGAAGAACACATAAGAAATCAGATTATAAAACTCGATATGACTTCGATTGATATTTTTCTGAGATGATATTTAACCTTAGAGAGCGAGTATTAGCAGCTACTCAACTGTTATGGGCATCGCAGTTGACTCCTGTGTCTTATGCTGGCGTCCACAAATGTGTCCCAATAGCAACTGGGAGCATGAACTCTGGCTGAGTTTTCCCTTCCCTAGCTCAGAAGCTAGGAAAATAGCATCCCTCACAACAGTGTTTCAAAACACACAAATAAGAGTTTGTAATGGGGTGGGTAAAGAGAAAAATCACTGGTTCTGAACAAAAAGTATCCAATTCACTTCTGAACAACAAATATGCCCTTAATGACCAAATCAGGTTTTCTTCCTACTCCACTGCGCAAAGCCTAATCTACAAAGCAAAGATATTCTAAATTTTTCTTTTTTTTAAAAAAAAGTGTAATGCATACTTCATGGAAAATTACCTTAGAGTTTGGTGTGTTGAAGCGAACAACCGCCACATCTCCTTTAAGTTCATAGTTAATATGGGTCATATCTAGAAGTAAAATATACGTTTCAAAAAAGTTGGAAACAAGACAATTGTGGAAACAAAAACAGATTCTGTACATGGTGAGTTTCTGATCCTCGTATGATTGCAAGTTCAAATGTTTCTCCAAAAGAAATGCAGAAAGAGGAACTGGCAGGAAAATCTCCCTGCACTGCTTTGCATGATTTGTGATTGCCAGATTAGATATTGGGCAAAATTTAGAAGCAAGTTACCTACATACCTATTCCTTGAAGCTAACAATGATGCTAGCCACATGGGGAGATTGAAGAGTAAAAGAACATAACTTCAAAACAGGAATTTAAAAATACAACATAACACATATTATTAAAAAGCTAATCTGCACACAGCAATATCCCACAAATAGCCATGAAGTGAGTGACCAATTTTATTTGGGGGACTGTTGGCCAAGACTGCCTTTTTTTTTTGAATAGTTCTGTGGGATCTTTAATGTCCACCTGAACAGGCAGAACATGATTTAACATTTGATCCAAAGGAAAGTACCTCCAACAATAGAGTCCTCAGCACTAGAGTGACAGCTTAGACTATACAAGTTTCAAGTGCCGACATGGGGCTTGAACCTACAACCTACTGACTCAGAAATGAGAGTGCTATCAACTGAGCAAGGCTGACACACAATGACAAATCTATCACGTGGAATTTAGAGGTTCCAGGTTAAATCCCTGGTTGCTCGGATTCGATTTGATCTGAACTGGGGCAGCAATGGTGGAACACTACCCACGAATGCTAGAATGCAGGGTTCCCATTTCTATTGTATCTTGCAGTTCAACATATCACACAAAATCAGAAACCCAACAATCCATGTTTAAATAATTATGCTGCATTTACCTCATCAATGCAAATTATTTGGAATTTCATAATTTAAATTGACTATTACAGATTTTAGCAAAATGTATTTTTCCCAGAAAGATGGTGCACAACTTCATATAGTAGGGCACATAATGTTATGTATATAAAATACAATTGTGTGGGTTGTGGATGGAAAAGTTTTAGCTGCATTGTGATTCACATCAAACAGATAGTTTTGAAACAACTTACTCATCGTAGCTGAAGAAACTGTGAAGTTGTGGCAGTTATAACCTAAAATGAAAGGTTTACAGCATCACATATAATAAAAATGAAAGAACAGTAAGTTTAGGTAAAACTGCCAAGCATAAAATAGTCCACACATTTACAAAGAAAAGTTATAATCAGGTTTCTATTATATTGAATAGATTTTTGGGAAAACGTCAAAGGTTAATTCTAATCAAGCCATAGTTTATTCCTTTTTTAAATAATTAAAGCTCTCAAATAAAAATCAATTTGCCACTCAACTTGCTCAGAAAAGCTACAATGGTTTACAACAACAAAATTACACTTGTATAGCGCCTTTCACGTCAGGAGAAATTCCCAAGGAGCTGGACAATCAGTTTTCCAGACCCGAGCTGGGGGTCGGGAATGTGGTAGGGTGGAGGGTGGGGGAGGAGGGTGATTGAAGGCACGGTCGAAGAGGAGGGACTTGAGACGAGTCTTGAAAGAGGCAAGGGAGGGGGCGAGGCGGAGGGACTCCGGGATGGAGTCCCAGAGGGTCGGGGAGAGTGGCTGGAGGCCCATCCGCCAATGGTGGGACGGGCGAGGCAGGTATGTAAAGCAGGCCGGAGCCCACTGCGTGAGGGAGCGGGCAGGCTGGTGGAGGGTTTTCTGGCTACTGCAGACCTAACTTTCTCTGATGCCATGCAGTTTATCACAATGGGAAAGTGGACTCAAATTATCCAGCAGCAAACCAACCTTCACTCAACTCCCCTTTAATAATAATAATAATCCTTGCATTTGATATAGTGCTTTTCACGTCGAGAGGACGTCCCACAGAAACACACTGTAAAGTGAATTGACTGTATATTTGTGGCGAACGCGGCAGCCAATTGCGCACAGCAATGTCCCACAAACAGTCGTAGATTGAAAATGACCAATTTATTATTGTTTTTTTTCTTTGGAGGGATTATTATTAGGCGTGTGGAGTAAGGAAACTTGCCCAAGATTTCGCCCTGCCTGGAATTGAACTCAGGTGCTCTAACCACTGAGCTACAGGACTCCACTACTACATTAATTGAAGCAAGTATGTTACAACTATGCCTGTTCTAAACAAAATGGACCAATAAGGTGAACAGGGAATGAATCTGTATTTGCAATCTACATTGCTGAGTGACAACTTGTGGTTTATAGAAACTGTGGCATTATAATAATAATCCTTGCATTTCATATTGCATCTTATCACATCATCGAGACATCTCAAAACACTTCACAGGATATACTGTAAAGTATCAATACTGTGGACAACTCCAGACTCCTCAACTGCCTCTCCTCTCATCTCAATCTTCAAGGTTCTGTCCTTGAATGGTTTAGGTTTTATCTTTCACACCGTCTCCAATTTGTCTCTTCCAACGGTTTCTCTTCCAGGCCCACACAGTGTCGTGTCGTGCTCCCAGGGCTCTGTCCCCGGTCGCCCCTCCTCTTCAACCTCGATATGCTCCCCTTTGCGACATCATCTGCAGACATGGGGTCAACGTCCACATGTTCGCGGATGACACGCAACTATCTCTCTGCCTCCACCCTTGACTTCAAGACAACTGACATCCTGACAGACTGACTGTCAGACATCAAGTCCTGGATGAGAGCTAACTTTTCACAGCTGAATGTCAGCAAGACCGAGGCCCTACTGTTTGGCTCACGCCAGAACCTCAGCACCTCATGCACTGGCAGCATCAGCATCCACGGATGCACACCACTCCTCCTCATTACGCCAGTCAGGAACCTGGGCATCTTGTTCAACCCTCAACTGTTCTTTCTTCCCCCATATCCGTGCATAACCCGCTCCGAGCTCCCCCACCTCCGCAACATTGCCCGACTCCACCACTGCCTCAACCCTCAGGCCGCCGAGACCCTCGTACATGCATTCATCACCTCAAGGCTCGACTAAGGAAACTTCCCTCCTCGTCAGCCTCCCCAACTCTTAACTCCCCAAGCTGCAGATCATCCAGAACTCTACAGCTCGTGTCCTCTCCCGGACCAGGCTCTGTGACCCCTCACCACCACCTTTGCCCGGCTCCACTGGCTTCCCATCCCTCAGAGGACAGAGTTCAACATCCTTGTCCTCACTTTCAAAGCCCTCCATGGCCTTGCCCCTCCTCAATCTCTCACCTGCTGATCCGCTAACAACAGCTCCGATCCCTCTATTCAGCAGGCTCCGGCCTGCTCCAAGTCTCCCGCCCAACCCGCCCTACCATTGGCGGCTGGGCTTTCAACCTCTCTGCCCCCAACGTTTAGAACTCCATTTCACAATCTCTTTGCCTTGCTACCTCCCTTGTCTCCTTCAAGGCATGACTCAAGACACTGCTTTCGACCATGCTTTCAGCCGCCCACCTACCCCATCTGCCCTCCCTCATCCCACCCTGCCCACCCCCCCATGCTTGGGTCCTGATCCCCAACTATTCAGCCTTGGGATGTTCTCTCAACGTGAAAGGCGCTTTACAAATGTAATTTTGATGGTGTTGTAAAGTGGATTGACTGTCTATTTTGTGGGTGAAACACAGCAGCCAGTTTGCACACAGCAATGTCCCACAAACAGTAAGTGACTAATTTTATTAGGAGGATTTGTTCGCCAAGACACTAGGAGAAAGAAACTCCCTTCTGTTTTTGAAAACTGTACGCTATAGGGAATATATACTCTACTTGAGAAACATTTGTTAAAAGTATTGCAAAGCTGCAACAAAAAAAATCTCTGCTGCATGGCCTTTCACCTTTTTGCTGTTAAAATAACCGCTATGGTGCAATTTACTTTGCTGCACAAAACAACCACATGGATAAATTGCACAATATTATCTTGAGCTAATATAAGTGGGATAAAGGTCAATGTCGCAGCTGCCTATCTGTAGGTTATGGGCCTGGCTGTGTGGAGTGGGAGGAATGAGCTCTACATTACTTAGAATATGCCACAATATACCATGAAATGCATTAAAACTGCTTAAACCTATCAATACAAAAGCTAAACTTGTAGCACCCAGTATTTCTAGAAGTTAGTGTCTATTTGGTCTGCACGTCTTGATACTGACTGCCATGCAGCAATGAATATTACCATTCTAAATGTATAACATGTGCAAAATGCATTCATCATTTAGATTCACAAACCATCGGATATCTAAAAAATGATATTATTGGACATGGTTTGGAATTGCAGTTGGATTTGAGAATAAGCAGCTCAGTTTTTTTTTGTTGCTGAATTCATTCACTTTCTGAATCATACAGGACTTTGGGTTCTACTTATTGCTGAACTTTGGCATAGATTCTTTACATGGTTAAATACCAGGGCAAGGATGACCTTTGTCCCATTCCAGCATGGAAAAAATCAATGAGTCAGCAGACTAATGTATCTCCCCTTCTGTTGGCCTTGCACTTGTTTGTACCGCTTAGCTCGATCAAACCAAAATTTTGCATTATACTACACTCTATCCCTATCTGTATAATGCTGAGGCAGATGGATGGAAAACAATGTAGCAATGCATAAAACCAGTAAAATTGGAAGCTTTCAGAGAATGAATGGATAGGTAGGTGTTGAAGCAACAGGACAAGCTCAATTTCCAGAATTAGTTAATTCTATTAGATTTTAGTTAATATGCATCTTTTTATGTTAATATTTCTACAGGTTTACCTGGAACTATTGCACTACTATCTACATATTATGCTTTGGCTACTTGTTTCAGGGAAGAAAATGGATTGAGAAAGTTAAGAAATGTCACCATAAGGTACCTTACAAGTTCCTCAAGTCTGTAGCTATTTACTTTAATAAACAGCTATTGTCAAGTGTATCCAGGGATATCCTGGCTGTTCTAATGAATCCCCTTGAATTGCCACACAAATTCAATAAATAACTCTTGCATTTGATATAAGACCGTATAAGCTCCAAAGTACTTCACAGAATTTCCTTAAGACAGTATTCTATAGACAAATACGGCAGCCAATTTTTGTAAAGCAATGTTCAACAAACAGCCATGAAGTGAATGACCCGTTTTATCTGGAGGACTGTTCGCAAGGACACTGGGCAAAGCTCCTTTCTCTTTTCCAATAATTTTTCAGAGGATTTTTAATGTCCACCTGAATAGATAGATGAGACCTTGGTTTAATCCCAAGGATGGCACCTCTGACAATGCAGCATTTCGTCCACAAAATATACAGTCAATTCACTTTATAGTTTCTTCTGTGAAGCACTTTGAGATGTCTCGAAGACATGATAAAGCACTATATCAAATGCAAGGATTATTATTATTATTCCCCGGATGTGCAGGGTTTCTGGGGTTCAGTTGGCTCCCAAGTGACATGCCTGGCAATGGAATATGGGAATTGAGTCGCTCCTCTGCTTCAGTAGTCTGGTGCCTGAGAGATACACGACCACAATATTCCAAAGCACTTTTAATGACAAGTCGGTCAGTCTGGCTCATCAGCAGGACTTGGAAGATCAGAGCTGTCACTATGGGCTTGGATCCACTCATGTTAGCCTTGCAAATCAGATACCAAAAATGTAGAGTGTCCTAGCTGGACAAAAAAAAGAGGAAACTGGCCAGTGTTCATCATGACAAGCTAATCAGTTTTAACTGATTAAACTCCAGCATCATCACAATGCACCCTCTGGAGTCCCCAAACCTTGGCTTATGCAATCCTATGCATAACATCTCTGAGACTAGGTAAACAGAGTGCATCCCTCCAGGAAAGAGTGCACACTACACCAGACAACTTAAACTATCCATGTGTGAATTTCTCAGTAGTTCGGATGATTTTAAGTTTCTTTGTGTGTCGGGCTGAACAAAAAAATACATACAAGGCAAGTAGTTATTGATGAAATATTAAAATGTATTCATCATTTAGATTCACAAACCATGAACTGATGTCTGATCTAATAACTGATCTGATTCAAGATGAAATCAAAATGTATTTGGTCTGTCAGATATAGCCTTTGGAAACAAAAACAGAAGTCGCTGGGAACACTCAACAAGTCAGGCAGCATCTATGGAGAAAGGAAAGTGAGGCAACGTTTCGGGTCCACGACCCTTCATCAGAATCTTTACATATCAAATCATGGCCTTTGGTCCCATTTGATATATAAAGAAGCAGTAAATAATAATAAACCTTGTATTTATATACAGTAAAACTCACACGAGTCATATCAGTTGGGACCATAACATTTAATGTGACTTATGCAAAGTCCGAGTTAACAGTTTAAGTATACAGTAAAACTTGCACAAGTCTCATTTTTTTATAAATTGTATAAACATACATTCACTAAACCCCTATTCGGTTTCCGCCTAGTAAGTGTACATGCTTTGACAGGTAAGGACATTGTTGCCCGCGATTCAAGGCCTCCGGTAAGCGCGGTAGTAATAGAGGGTAGTGGAGCGGCTTTATAAGTTAGGAGGTGAGTAATAAGAGTAGTGTAAATAAATCAAAGTGGTTTTGATAGGAAACTGAATGGGACTTAAGTGAATGTACGACTTTGGCAATTATACAATTTATAGAGATAAGACTTATGCAAGTTTTACTGTACGTTGCATTGACCCCAGGACTGAGGCAGATGCTCATTTAAATCTTAATAGGATCCAAGATAAAATGATTGTGTCTAAATATAATTTGGAACCCCAACCTAGTACTAGGAGAGTTAATTTCAAATAAAGTAGCTGCCTTGTCAATGATAATTTCTATCAATATTTTCTTTCCCTTGACTGTCCAGTGCCTTGGGATATCCTCCCACTGTGAAAGGTGCTATATAAATGCAATTTGTTGTTTCCCCATATTTCAATTTCATCATTATTTAAGCCATTTGAGACATCCTCTCGACTTGAAAAACGCTATATAAACGTAAATTTATATTTTTGCTTAACATCAAAAATAACAACTTTGTTGTTCGATCTAAACCCTCAAAAAAATAATTTTTTTAGAATTAGTTATATTCTACAAATATATTAAACGAAGATTACAACACAATCATTTATATAAGGTGTCGAAGACAACAATTTACACTTCACATAGCATCTTTCACATAGGAGAATAAGTATTACAGCTCCCCCTCCCTCTCCCCCGGTTCGTTGTCAGACTGCCACTGTCCAGCACTCCAGAACGCTATCCCATGTGAAGCGCGCTGTATAAATACAAGTTGTTGTTTTATTGTAAGAGAAGATCCATTATACTACACTTTTTCATGAATGTTGACAATATAAATATAAAAGTACAGTGGTCAAGGTCTGTCTGGTGGCTGCAACTAAAACTGGCAGACAAGGCATTTGGGACTAGTGGGCTCCAGCTGGTTACTTATTTGGAACTTGTCTGCCAAGAACTGACATTTTCAAACAACTGAAAATTTACTGAATTGAACCACTGAATTTTCTTCCAACTTTGAAAAGATCTCAACTTATATGTACTTGCTACACATATATATATAATATATATACATACGCACACCCATAACACATAACATAAATTACTAGTTTTAAGAAGTTCTGACATTACAAACATTATATCAAATGCAAGGAATAATATTACTACTGTATAACAATTTACAAGTATGAATTCAATAAAGTGCAAGATGTTTCTACTGTATCCACTGGAACTATGAGGGGAGAGAGGGGGTTAAAAAACTAATAACAGATTTCCACCTTCCACAATTTTCCGTCAAGAAAGCAACGCTTAGTGCTATCAACATCAGGTGGTAACTATGGGAGCAGCAATGAGAGAATGAATTCAGTGAATGGTCACAGCATTAAAACACAACTTAAATATATATATATATATACACACACACATATATATATTCTGTGGTATATTAGCACCAACACACCACACCACCCCTCACAAATAAAATCTCACATAATGAACCCAAACCTGTGGAGTCCTGTAACTCAGTGGTCAGAGCACTCGCTTTGCAAATGAGTTCAATTCCAGGCAGAGGGCGAAACCTTGGGCAAGTTTCCTTACTCCACACAGAGCCTAATAATAATCCCTCCAAAACAATAATAAATTGCTCATTTTCAATCCACGACTATTTGTGGGACATTGCTGTGCGCAATTGGCTGCCGCGTTTGCCCACAAATATACAGTCAATTCACTTTACAGCGTATTCTGTGAATCGCTTTGAGACGTCGAGAAGACGTGAAAAGCGCTGTATAGAATGCAAGGATTATTATTATTATTATAGTATTATTATTATAAACCTGGTTGAGTCGGTGCAACACAACCGGCGGCGACACAGTGCTGACGGGAGAGACCGGTGGGGGCAGAGGTAACGTGTTTGATGAAAGAGAAGCCGTGCGAACAGCCGTGGAAGTAAAAGTGACAGAATCATTAAATGAAGGAACAACAACCAACGAACCAACGAATGAATGAATATGAGAGAGAGAATAAATTGGTCATTTTCAATCCACGACTGTTTGTGGGACATTGCTGTGTGCAATTGGCTGCCGCGTTCGTCCACAAATATACAGTCAATTCACTTTACAGTGTGTTCTGTGAAGCACTTTGGGACGTCCTCCCGACGTGAAAAGCGCTATATCAAATGCGAGGATTATTAATATTATTTAGAAAGTGACCGCGACGTTCCCGGAGCTCAGACCCACCCGACGCGAACCAGGTTTCCGGTTATTTATTTCCCTCATTCCCCCCCACCCCTCCCCTCGCTCGGCTGTCGGGGATGGAGGAGAGGTTTAAACCTCCGGCACTGCCCGCTCCCCCGGGGCCGCTGAGTACCTGAGAGCCGCAGACTCCGGCCCGACAGGCGCCGCCACATCCCCACCGCTCTCAGCGCCGCCATCTTGAGCCGAGCCCAGCCCAGCCCGAGGGGTCCTGAGCTCACGCCAGGCGCCCCGCACCCGCCTGACCTCAAGCCCGTCTGCCGTCAAGTGCGTCGCACGCCGTTTCCGCCTCCCCCTCCCGAGAGCTTCCCCGACGTTTTAATGTTTAACTGCGTCGGTTTGAGCGCTTCGCCGGCTGTCAGGCGGTTGTAACGAACGCGGAAGGATAGTGCGCCTGCGCTCGGGCGCGGTTTGGCCACATCGGGAACGGGGGCTTCGGGGCCGCGGAGACGGTTTGTGTCCCCGAGGACCGAAGAGTGAGTGTGAGAGAGAGTGTCAGAGAGAGAGAGAGAGAGAGAGTGTCAGAGAGAGAGAGTGAGAGAGAGTGTCAGAGAGAGAGAGTGGGAGAGAGAGCAGAGAGAGTGTGAGAGAGTGTCAGAGAGAGAGAGTGAGAGAGAGAAGAGAGTGAGTGTGAGAGAGGAGAGAGTGTGTCAGAGAGAGAGAGACTGTGAGAGAGGAGAGAGAGTGTGAGAGAGAGCAGAGAGAGTGTGAGAGAGTGTGAGAGGAGAGAGAGTGTCAGAGAGAGAGTGAGTGTGAGAGAGAGAGAGAGTGAGTGAGAGGAGAGAGAGTGTCACAGAGAGAGTGTGAGAGTGTCAGAGAGAGAGTGAGTGTGAGAGAGTGTCAGAGAGAGAGGGAGTGAGTGTGAGAGAGAGTGTCAGAGAGAGAGTGTGAATGTGAGAGAGAGAGAGAGTGTCAGAGAGAGTGTAAGAGAGAGAAAGAGTGTGAGAGAGAGAGAGAGGAGAGAGGGAGAAAAAGAGTGTGAGAGAGAGGAGAGGTCAAGAGACCAACGTCAGAAATAGAACAGGTAACTAACTACAGTGTGAGATTCTGTTTACAGTCAGTCTGACAGTGTGTCTGACTGTGTACAGTGTGTCTGACAGTGTCTGACTGTGTACAGTGTGTCTGACAGTGTCTGACTGTACAGTGTGTCTGACAGTGTCTGACTGTGTACAGTGTGTCTGACAGTGTCTGACTGGGTGTACAGTGTGTCTGACAGTGTCTGACTGTGTACAGTGTGTCTGACAGTGTCTGACTGTGTACAGTGTGTCTGACAGTGTCTGACTGGGTGTACAGTGTGTCTGACAGTGTCTGACTGTGTACAGTGTGTCTGACAGTGTCTGACTGGGTGTACAGTGTGTCTGACAGTGTCTGACTGGGTGTACAGTGTGTCTGACAGTGTCTGACTGGGTGTACAGTGTGTCTGACAGTGTCTGACTGTGTACAGTGTGTCTGACAGTGTCTGACTGGGTTTACAGTGTGTCTGACCTGTTTGGATTCACCAGCAACAACAACAACAAAATTACATTTGTATTAGCGCCTTTCACGTCAGGAGGATGCCCCAAGGTGCCGGACAGACAGAGTTTCGGACCCGAGCTGGGGGTCGAGATTGGAGAGAGTGGAGAGCGGGGGGGAAGCAGGGAGATCGAAAGCACTGTTGAAGAGGAGGGTCTTGAGATGGGTCTTGAAGGAGGCAAGGCAGGGCGAGGCGGAGGGACTACGGGCTGGAGTTCCAGAGGGTAGGAGCAGAGTGGCGGATGGACGAGATGGAGGATGTGAAGCAGGCTGGAGCTCGCTGAACAGAGGGAGAGGGCAGAATGGTAGGGGGTTAGGAGGTCGCAGAGTGGAAACAGCTCATCAATATCCACCTTATTGAAACCTTTCAGAATCTTAAAACTTCTTGTCAGATCCTTTCTCAAATATCTCATCTCCAGAGAGAAAAGCTTCAACCCTTCAATCTTCTTGATCGCTCTATTCACTCATCCTTGATGGCATTCTTGTAAATCTGTGCTACACACTCCTCAATGCTACAGTATTCTTCCTTCATTACATCTCTAAATGTGTAATATAACTACAATTATTAGATCTCTAAGTGTACAATTTTGTCTGTGAGTGTGATTATAACTGGGTGTATAGTGATACTCTTGAGTGTATATCAACAATAAATTGCACTTATATAATACTTTTCATATAGGGAAAATGCCTCAAAATACTGCACAAAGACTGAGTAGGACCCCCAGCTGGGAGATGGAGATGGAGAGGGATAGGGTGCAGATGGCCAAAAGTCCATAAAGCAGGTCAGATATAGCGGAGCAGAGGGATTGATGGAGAAATATGTCACAGGAGGTCACTGAGGAAGGATAGGCAAGGTCATGAAGGTATTTAAAGGTAAAGATGAGGATCTATCTTGAGGTGGAAACAGATGAGGATGGGGTTGTGAAGTCTTGTTCAGGAGAGGATGCGGGCAATGGAGTTCTGTATGGGCTGCAGCTCATGGAGGATGATCCAGAGAGACTAGCAAAGAGGTGATTGGAAAAGTCAAGTCTAGTGATAAACGTGTGGATGGGATTAGTGAGGTAGTGGCAGAGGCAGATGATGCTGTGGTGATAAAGAGAAACAGACTTGGTCTGAGCCTGATTTAAAGCAGAATTGAGAGTTGAACAAAATGGTGAGATTCTACTCATGAATTGGAGTGAGCAACCAGAGAGGTCAACCCATGAAGTGAGGATGAACTGATGGAAGCCGAACAGGGAGGGACAGTTTTATTGATGTTGTGGTTGGAGAAAATTAAGGCTCTTTCAGGGCTTGATGTCCGACAAGCAGTGTGTCAGAACTGCATTAGTACTGAAGATAATAATAATAATAATCCTTGCATTTGATATAGCGCTTTTCACGTCTTCTAGACGTCTCAAAACAGTATATTTTTGGGTGGACGCGGCAGCCAATTGCGCACAGCAATGTCCCACAAACAGTCGTGGATTGAAAATGACCAATTTATTATTGTTTTGTTTTTGGAGGGATTATTATTAGGCATGTGGAGTAAGGAAACTTGCCCAAGGTTGCGCCCTGCCTGGAATGTCTCTCGCTTGCAAAGCGAGTGCACTAACCACTGAGCTACAGGACTCCACTCATCATATCCAATGCACGTTATTACCCCTGCACATAAAGCAACCTCTAAATGTATATAAATGTACAATCAATGCTAATCTATCCCGTGGTCGCTTTAGTAGAACTTTGTCGGGGTTGTGGTTGCCCTAGGGTTGTTGGTGAGAGTTGCCGAGCGGCGTCAAGCTGACTGAGAGGAAGAAAAGTATGAATCGTAGAAACGGATCTCAGTGGTTAACCAACCACTGCCGCTGCATTTCAACCTGATTCTTCTCCAGGTGTTTTGTTAATCACACGCATGTAAGGCCGACACTATCGCCAGTTTCGCATTTATTACATTTCTCTGCTCCACTGTTGCATGTTGTCACTGAAATGCAAACACAAGGCAGCCTGTTGCAGCTTAGCTGCTACTCTGCAAGTCTTATTAATGTACTCTATTGTGAGCTTTTTACTTGATACTTGGTCGTTTGTGAATAAATGTGGAAGGATAGCAACAGTCAATGCTTGCAGTGTAGCTATTGCTGCCTTTACCAATGCAGCAGATTCAGAGTATCCATCTTCCTAATCCGTTTTCAGAAAGCTATTTTGGACTAAATTTTTTTTAAGAATAAAGAATATTTCCAACCTTAGATATAGTTTTGAACTAACATGGGGAACTGTTGAAAAGTGAAAAGAGATCCATTTGTTTTTCAGTTTTCTAAGTACATTAATTTGAAAGACCAAAAAGAAGAAAGCACATAACTAACATAAATGTACATGTATTTAGAATTTGTTTCAGATAGTGTTAGAACTACCAAAACTGAAATTGAAATGGCTTTATCCATGTAATAGCAAATTTTGAGAAATTCAGTTTCCTGAGTCAGCCATTAATAATTCAATTCATTCCATGGGATGCTGCAAGTTTCGTATTACTGTAATAGTGATATCAAATGTCAGGAAGTGTTTAATCCAGCAATTATTAATTGCACAGATTGTATTGACTTGATGTAGGTTTCAATTAAATTAACAGTGTTTTGGGGAGCTGGGACTCTGAATAGTGTTGTGTCCCCTACCCCCCCCCCCCCACCACCCGCAGCCCCCCAACCCTCACGCTTGGCATGAGGCTGGACCACTGTCAAGCGTTCTGAGGCGCTACCCTACAGGAGGGGTGCAATATAAATGCAAGTTGTTGTTGTTAGATGTTCACTCCAATCACAACATCAAGGACTACTTTAAAGTGATGTTGGCAGTATAATTCCTACATTATTATTTACGTTAGATTATATAGATTTTTTTAAAAAAAATAAGTTTCTTTCCACCTTAACCTTCCCTCTATTTTATTTGCTTTTAATTTTTAGATAATTTATTATCTAAACATCTTTTGGCATTTTCCTTTATTTATTTCCCTTTTTTGTATGATTGGAATCCACCTGATACAAATAGTGCAGTATAAATTGATTTTCTTACATGTGGTCTTTCACAGAGAATTTTCCATGTGTAGGTGATATAAGTATGTGAAACCCTCAGTTTGGATACTTTTAAGCACAGTGATGGGTTTCTGCATGTGCCAGACACCCAGCTGACCAAAAAAATTGCATGAAGTGTAGCATGAATTTAGATTTCCTTTGTGAAGGACTCTCCTTAAGGATCAATTCATATTAACTTCAGTGTAGCTTCAAAATAATTATAGCTAATGTAACCTCGGTTCCACATCTGTACAGTGTCATAAAGGATGTGTGCACATATTCCACTCGCCTTTATCGTGACATTAATGTTACGATAGACTCCGATCTGCTTGTGTGCCATTGTTAAATCATTTCCAAATGTATTGATGTAAACGGTAGTGTAATTCTGATCAGATCATTCAAAGGGAAGCTTGACCTTTACATGAGGGAGAGGGTATGGGAGGGAGGAAGGAATTGTGGAGACTCATGGAGTATAAACATCAGCACGGAATGGTTGGGCTGAGTGGTCTGCTTCCATAGTATACAGTCTTTGTAAGCCTTTGTAGATCACTGTACTTAGATCCATGGCACTTTTTTTGTGAACTATATTTAAAAAAGTATGTTTTTCTGAACCTCCACTATTCTGTACATTGTGAGATCGTATAAATTTATATTGCATTGGTCCATATGAACATATGTTTAGTAAATTAATCTAAACTGTTTGTTCATCTCCACTTTTTCAGGTTTGTCTGTGCTCCTGATTGTAGAGTTTGTAACTATGTTAATTATATTATTGTGCTTCAGTTTTATTTATGCCCTTTAGGATCTTGAATACCATTCTTCAGTAAGATCTTTTTGGGGACCTTGATATAATAAAATAACTGGTTCCAAAGATGTCTCATAAGAAAATTAAGGGACTAAACCTGGTGGGTTGATCCGATCATATTTTTGGAGTGATAAAGGTCAGACCCTGACATCATGTCTGGACTCTTGGCAGCTTGAAGCAAACAAGTTAGCTTGTTGGCTCAGTACCTTCAAAATTAGTTATCTCGTTGGCGCTCAAGGGTTCAAAGTACAATTTGGTGCTTTTCTCTTAGTATCAGGAAAATTTGGAATCGTACCATAGAACATGTGGAGAATGAGCTTTTTGCCATTCAGTAGCTTTAAAATTATTTTAAAAGTCAAAAATATAATTTTGTAAATTAGTTCCATTGACTAAGAATCAAAATTTAATTTCAGTATCAAACAAGGTGATAATTCAATCCTGAAACCATCTCCAGAAAATTACTGAATTTCTGCTAATTATCACTAGTAATAATTAATCACATAATCATAATTCGCATCCCACCCCCAGATCCGCTATTTCCCCCAATATATTAGGCATTCTAATTATGATGATAAAACTTCAAAATTGCTGCAATTGCAATCCTATGACTGGACAAATCTTGATGGTTTTAAATAAGAGTTAGGTGGTTTGAATAGTTGTCATACGTTACGTCAACCTATGCTGAATAATTCTCTGTAATGAAAACCTTTAACACCTTGAGCCACTGGAAGATACCATTGGTTATTGAATTGCACTTGGTGTAATTGTGCATTGACTAAAGTGAACAAGAATGCTCAGGTAAATGTTAAATTCAAATACTGCTTGAATGCAATCAGCGTGCTTGTCCGACCCAAGCCCCCCCATCCCCTGCCCCTCCCAACCTGTCTCCTTTTTGGGCTGAATTTTTTTAAAATAAAATAGTTTGACTTTTCTTAACTATATACTGTGATTTCTTAGTAATCTAATGTAATAGCAGGCAAGGAAATCCTAGAGAAAATAAAGTTTGACATACATTGTTCTGACTGAAGGTATTTGAATTCTGTTCTCGAGAGATCTGATAGCACATCGTACTATTTCACACTCAGTGCTTGATGATGTAATGAAAGCTTTTACAGTCTTGTTAGGTAGTAGTTTTCAATTTGTGCCTAAACTCTTATGACTAATTTTTTTTATATTCAGAAATTAACATTTAAACATGGCTTCCATGTTGTCACACGCATTCAGAAATATCCCCATCAATTCACCATGGGCTGTCAAGTTAAGTAAGTATGTGTACAGTTTAAAGATTTCTTTCAAACTATGCATTTTATATCAAGATATGATTTTTTTATTTGTTCTTTATTTCCTAATGATCCTTTTTTGGAGCTAAACACAATATATTTTGTATAGCCGATTGCAGTGTGCACTCCCATTACAAAACAAGAAAAGCAGGCCAAAATAAACATGAGGTCAATAAGAATAACTTTCACATAAACTCGAGTTGTCATTCTTCTTCTTCCTAATGAGCTCCTTGAATCATATACGAAGCATGAACACCAAGTTCATACTGAGACCAGAAGATGTGGTGTAAACCACTACTAATTGAAATGTTTTGAAGACTTTTGGTGGACTGTGAAGCTCACTGCATGTATTTATGATCTTCTTCCAGTACCACTCTTATTTTACATATAATGTGATTGATAACATAGAGTGCTGAAGTCTGATGCATTAGTAATCAAGTGGGGGACTGCAAATTAGATTTCATCTCCTCTGCTAACATTCAAATCTTCCCAGTAATGGTGAGGGTGCGAGACAGACAGCATTTTTTTGGAGAAGAGTAGAAAATCATCCCCAGGCCTCTCATGTTTCGTATAGGAAATGGATAAGAACAGTTATGATAGAGTTATTGATTCTAGTTGGCAGGCACTGTAATTTGTACTGTAATTTGTTTCTATTCCTGCATAATTTTTTTTATTCAAAATCTCTGGCCATATAATAATACTAATAATCCTTGCATTTGATATAGCGCTTTTCACGTCTTCTCGACATCGCAAAGCGTTTCACAGAACAGACTGTAAAGTGAATTGACCGTATATTTGTAGGTGAAACGTGCAGTTTTCAGATTTTGGCACACTAATAAACTGAATTAATATGATTATATTACCTAATTAGGACAGTCATCGCAACATTGTTAGATAAGGTAGAGGGCATTTCACTTCTTGATCTTATTGAGAAAGATGTTTCTTAAGACAAATTACACCTTATTGAATGTTCATAATTTTGGCTAACAAACTGAAAGCAATATTGAATCAAATTCATTTTTTGAAAACTTTGAATCTAGATGTTTTGAGTGTTATTGTAATCTTTTCTTCAGCTAGTGCTAGAGAAACAGCATTACACAATTTAGATGTTTGAATTTTGTTAGAAAGAAAATTAATGTATTTATAATAAGATCATGTCTTGTCTCATTAAATTAGGTACACGTTCCTTGAGCACAACATCTGACCTTCGGACCGCAGGTAAGTACTTTTCTATCTATTTTTCTGATAGTCTGAAACATGTGGCTTTGCAACATTTGACATTTTTACATATACAATAATAATTTTAATAATCATTGCATTTGATATAGCGCTTTTCCCGTCAGGGGGACATCTCAAAGCACTTCACAACATTTTACTATAAAGTGGAGTGGCTATATATTTTGTAGGCAAATTGTTAGATAGTTTGCACACAGCATGTCCCACAACAGCCATGAAGTGAATGACCAAATGTTACATGATTGTGTTACATGAAATAGTTTGGACTTTTTTGATAATGTATATAGATATAATAGCACAACAGTCACACCACTTCATAGTATATCCTGTGAAGTTCTTTGAGACGTGTTGACAACATGATAAAGCACTGTATCAAATGCAAGGATAATTATTATTATTTAAAATTCTCTCTTCAACAGTGCAAGTAAAAATCCCCAAAGCTCGAGTAAACCAAAAGCTCAACAATGTGGTTCTTGTTGAAGGCGTCCGGACTCCGTTCTTAATGTCTGGTACCACGTAAGTAATAATGATTGCCTTAAATGAGAGGTTCAAATCTGCATTACCTATCTTACATTCTCTGAAAGCTTTGTATTGGAGTCTAAGGCCATTTAGCTTGTCCCTAATATCTGTCATGGAGCTACTTCACATTGCAAGCACAATTTCTCTTTTGTTGAAGCAAAATGAATTTCCACTGGAGTGAAACCTCCAAATTTCTTGTGTTTTGTTTCTGTTTCTCTTTGCCATCTTATTTTAGAAAATCTAAGGAATTGAATTTAATGACATTCCTGAACTAGAACTTGTTTATGAAGGATTCTCAAATTATCTATATACTGGAATAAAAGCTGCTTTTCTTGTTTGCCAAGAAGAGAAGTCATCTTAAAAATGCACTTGTGTTAGTGCTTTACAAACTAACACTGATCTACTGAACCCAGCCATTCAGCAGCAAACACGTGAACGTGGGAGTTTGACACCCCCGTTGAATGCAGTGAATGCCAGTATGTTTGCTTCTCTTTATAAGCAGAAAGCTACTTGTGCAGAATTTTTACAAACCAGTTCCAAGAGGGTCTTGGAAGAAAAATTATGAAACAAACTTTCAATTACCAGATTGCACATAAATCCAGGGATTTTTACTGTAGAGAGGCTGCTAATCCTGTCTAATGGTTTTGCATTTTTCAGTTTAAGACTGGTTTTACAGATTAAGACATACTCTAGTTAGTGTAATAAATAAAAATTGCAGCAAAAGATTGCAGGATGATAACTAAAATCATTCATTTTCTATGCTTTTCTGTTTCAAATATTTGTCTATTTCCTATTTTTTTAAAATAATTCTGCTTCAGATAGTCCATATACTAAATTGAGGAATTGGTAGATTGCTTTTCCAGGGGTTCTCCCTTAAAATAATTGTGATTTACAACTGTTTGTGGGACACTGCTGTGCGCAATTGGCTGCTGCGATTCGCCCTCAAAATATACAGTCAATTCACTTTAGAGTATATTCTGTGAAGCGCTTTGAGACGTCTTGACGTGATAAGGTGCTATATCAAATGTAAGGATTATTATTATTTATTATTTGACTACTTAAAAACAGTTGCACGTTAATGATGTGGAGAATATCTGACTTGTATTCTTTTATTATAGATACGCCAACATGATGCCACATGACTTGGCCAGAGCATCACTGCAGTAAGTTAAGCTCACATTGCTGTGTTTCTATGTCTCCATTAATCAAGGTTTTTTCTAATGTATTTTGGAAGCTTACTTAAAATTATTTGTTACAGGGGCCTTCTGAGAAGGACCAACATACCTAAATCAGCTGTTGATTACATTGTGTATGGAACTGTTATTCAAGAAGTCAAGACGAGTAATATTGCTCGAGAGGTATGTTAAGATACTATATTTTTAAATAATTATGCTGAATCTGTGTATTAAGATATAAATTGTACTGTGAAAAATGCGAATATCATATTCAAAACCTGTAGGGCAACCCATTTTTTAGCGCAGGCATGTTGGTCCATTGTCTGAAAGGCTGTGTTATAAGAGATGTTTGAAAAAAGTAGCCATCTTTTGTAGTCAGGTTGGATGCTATTTGGAGGATGCACCACTTATGTCACTTTCTGCTGCACACTCACAGTAAATTTGAGAAATGCCACTGTGATCAATTCCTTTGCAAAAGAAATGAAATAGTGTACTGACTACTTTACAGGAGTCCTGAGGTTCAGTGGTTAGAGCACTCGCCTTGCAAGCGAGAGACCTGGGTTCGATTCCCAGCAGGGAGAAACCTTGGGCAAGTTTCCTTACGCCACACGCCAGATAATAATCCCTCAAGAAAAAAAACAATAATAAAATTGGTCACTTCAATCCACGACTATTTGTGGGACACTACTGTATGCAATTGGCTGCAGCCAATTCACTTTACAGTATATTCTATGAAGCACTTTGAGACGTCTAGAAGATGCGAAAAGTGCTATATCAAATGCAAGGATTATTATATTATTATTATTCACAAAAGGACATCAGCAACACTTCCTGCACATAAGCAATATGTGAGAAATGACATTAGTGGTGGGATTTTACTAAGCGACATCAGAGGCAACCTGACGACCCAGCAGTTAAGACATATTTTAGCTTTGGGAGTCGATCCCACTTGGTTTCCAATTAACACAAATCTACAGTATACAAGAGCTATATAAAAAACAGTGCTATACCAAAGGGCATAATGTGGTATTAGAAGTAGATTTTAGCAAAACAAAAGCAGTACCAAAAATGTGATTTAATTCCAGAGCTTGGACTGCAACAGTGACATTTCTGCTTCTGACATACCAGCTGTTTTATCTATCAACTGTAAATATATAATTATGTGGATACTACTTTTGAAATAGTGTACTGACAATCTTAACTACATTCATATCCTATATGACTGAATTAATGCTCTAACTATGCTTAGGAATTCTATGTATTTGCATGTGCATCTGTGCATTCACTGCATTAGAAGTAATTATTTCTACTGTTTTGCCAGGCTGCACTTGGAGCAGGATTTTCAGATAAAACTCCATCTCACACGGTCACCATGGCTTGTATTTCCTCAAATCAGGCCATGACCACAGGTACATCCTGCAACAACAAAATTACATTTGTATATGCACATGACGCACATAAATTAATGCTTTTGTTTTTTTTTGCAGCTTTTAGCCTCATTGCCTCTGGCCAGTGCGACACAGTGGTAGCTGGTGGTGTGGAGTTTATGTCAGACGTTCCCATCCGTCACAGCAGGAAGATGAGGAAAACCTTGCTCTCACTTAATAGAGCTAAGACAGTAGGACAAAGACTGTCTCTCATCGGGAAAATCCGACCGGACTATTTTGCTCCTGAGGTATACACACAGCACGTTTCTGTGATAAAATGGGCAAAAAAAGTTTGGGATCTTTTTCCTCTATCTTTATTGATGTAAATTATTTTTTTAAAGTTTATTTCATTTTATGTTAAGCTGATGCTGTAACTGTGATGTTTGGGTGCCCTCTCTATGTACACACCAAGCTCTGAATCCAACCCCCATCCTTGCTCAGCTCTGCTGGCTCTTATCATCCAGTGCATTGAATTCAAGAACCTTATGAATGCCACACTGTCTTGAAAGAGTATAGCTCTGAAACAATTTAGGTCAGAGTTTAACTTACATTAGTCACAATGATGTGCATCATACTCACTAGAGAGATGCATTTTACATGCTGAATTTACAAAGTGTTACAAAGAATGTGTCAGCACAGAAACAAATCACTCAGCCCTATCAGTCTGTGCCGGTATACACACTCCACACAGGTTTTTACGCATTCCTTACTACCTTCCATACACTTCTGTTCACCTCTCCCTCATATGAAGATCTAGCTTCCTCTTAAATGCAACAGTGCTATCTATTCAACCACCGCTTCAGGCAGTGAGTGCCATAATCTCGCTACTCTCTGCATGAAGTTGTTCCTCCTAAATTCTCTTAGATCCCTGAGTCGCTATCTTTTACTTGTGCCTCCTGGTTATGGACTCCCCAAACAGTGGAAGCATCCTATTCATGTTACCTTTCTCAAACCCTTTTATAATTTTAAACACTTCAAATAGGTTCCTCCTTAAACTGCTTTTTCTGGCGTCACAGGAACCATTTACATTGTCGTTTTCTCAACGTTCACTTTTTCAATCCAATGTCCCAAGTTATCCAAGGTGCAGGTGAACTGCAGTATGTAAAACAAGTCTTACATAATAGGTGGTTAGAGGTGAAATCCTAATTAATATTGTAAACCGGGTAGGAGAAATTAACAACTAAATCAAAGTACATTTCTATAGATATGATTTAACATTGCTTGTCATTATTTCTTTAGCTTCCAGCTGTAGCTGAGTTTTCCTCCAATGAGGTCATGGGTCACTCTGCAGATAGACTTGCAGCTGCTTTTGGCATATCACGTGTAGAACAGGATGAGTATGCTTTGCGTTCTCATATTTTGGCTAAGAAAGCCGAGACTGAAGGGCTGCTTAAAGATGTCATCCCGTTGAAAGTTCCAGGTAACTGCCTTGTGTCTGCGCAGAAATATAATCATAATTAAATCAATCTGCAGTTAACTTTTCAAGACAAAACTTTTCCCTTAAGTAATATTAAGTGCTGCCAATCAGGTTTAATTGGCAGCACTCTTGCTTCTGGATTAGAAGGCTATGATCTCAAGCCCCATTGTCTCGGCTGACACCAGTGCAGTGTTGGGGGAACACTGGAGCAAGGATTTATTATTGAAAATATTATAATCCTAATTAAGTATGTATATACAATGGAGGGGTTTAAATATATTAAAAAGGAATCCAAGTTCACCAATGTGGATTTTTTTCTGGGTAACAAGAAGTAAGTCATGCTGAACTGCCTGATCTCCCTTCCATCTACATCTCTTTCTGTTATGAGGTTCCTGCAGTCCTATGGGAATCCTTAGAAATCCATTACAAATAGCACATTTTAGACACCCCATATATATTCTGTAGACACCATGAAACAATCGTTTATTCCTCCTTTTTACTCCAGCAAACTAGCGGGGAGCCTAGGGAATCTGCTTTGTGTGTGTGACTGTTCTATAATCAAACAATGTGTGCTTCAAGCAATCTTCTAAGTATTACTGGAAAGTGCAGAAAATTAGTTGGTATATACCTAGTTCCTCATTGTTGAAACAAGTAAATATTCTATAATTCAGGTTATCGTTTTGTTTTACGGTTAATGCAGTTTAACTAGCGTCTAAGCGCTCTGAGACACTACCCGGCATGGAGAGTGCTATATAAGTGCAAGTTGTTGTTGAATAAACAACCTTTGAATCTGGCTGTCAGATGATTAGAAGTCAGATTATTCAAGCTTGACCTCATGGTGACTGACAGGTTAGGTCAAGTTTTCTGTGCAATTCTTGACTTGCTGAATCCAAGAAGTGTGAAGCACAAATTAGTCATTGGTGGTTCAGGTGAGCATACACCTTAAAACGGGTTCACAATGTTGGAACAAATTTGGTGAATCAGATGCATCAGTTCTGTGCTGACCATTAGCCGATTAATCCATACAAATTCAGCTCTTCTATTTCAACAAAGCTATGTTACGCCTTTTATCCCGCTTAATGCACAGAAATATGTATGATGATGGAGGTTTCTAGTTCACCTTTTACAAGTTATTCCTTCAACTAAGGAATGTATTTAATATGAATGAGAAATTTGACATTTTTTAAAAATAATTTTCTTTTAAACCAGGAAATCAGACAGTCATGAAAGACAATGGGATTAGACCGTCCTCTATGGAAATGATGTCCAAATTGAAACCAGCGTTTGTCAAACCACATGGAACTATTACTGCTGCCAACGCTTCATTTCTGGTAATAACATACTAACTTGAGACAAAAAGTAATTTTAATTTCCTTTGCTCTAATTCATTTCTTATTTTCTAAGAATTTTCTTCTTTGTGGAATTGTGAATTTTTAATTCCACAGGGATTGCTCACTCCACTACCTGTCGCCTTCGCTCAGCTCACCTGGGTTCTTCTGCGTACCTTCAGCCACTATGCCCTGAATCTCTGGAACTCCCTGCCTCAATCCCACTGTCTTGCTTCCCTTTACCAGTCTTCAAATCAGACCTGAAGACGTTTCCTCTTTGACTGTGCCTTTGATCACCTACCCTCTCTTTCCAGCTAGGTGTCAAACTGCAATGCTGTTGAGCTCTCTAAGATACTACTTGCATGAAGTGTGCTATATAAATGTTATTTTTAACAAGAATTGAGATTATGATTGCAGATAGACTATAAATATTCATGTTCCTTTCCTGAATTTAGATTTGCTGATCTTTATACAGGGTAACTGATTCTGTTTAGAAATAAATGTATGAGAACTTTTATGTGCCTTTTCAAGAATATTATTCATATTAAATCTTGCTTAAATTAAGTCAATACTATTCATATTAGCTTCATATTTTTATGTTAAACCCTGAATTTGTCTCAAATTTCAGACCGATGGTGCATCAGCAGTGTTGCTCATGTCTGAAGAAAAGGCACTGTCTATGGGCTACAAACCAATTGCTTATCTGAGGCAAGTAGTCTTTGTAAATCCTCTCTGGAGCAGATAGATAATGGAAATAAATACATATTTGTAATGCTAATGAACAATAAATTTCAATTTATTCTGTGGATTATTTCAGGGACTTTGTATACGTCTCCCAGGATCCCAAGGATCAGCTACTGTTGGGGTGAGAGTGTTTTTTGTTAAAATATATAATAAAGAAATTTGAATACTTCTAATGTTATTTTTAAACTAAGACTCCTATTTTCTGTAGGCCAGCGTATGCTATTCCTAAAGTTTTGGAGAAAGCTGGATTATCTCTTGATGATATCGCTGCCTTTGAATTGCATGAAGCTTTTGCAGTAAGTTCATTTTGAATGGTAAAAAGCAACAGGAAACAACATTGAAAACAAAATAATAAATTGCTATAGTATTGGATCAGCTGAAAGGTAACCTTCCATTTTAGTTGTGATTGTCATGCCATAGCACCTTTCTGTGCTACCAGCAAGACATGCTGACACAATTAATCTAGTTAACATTCGGCAGAATCTTGTCCTTTCTACGAGTCTCTCAAAATTTATAGTCAGCACTGGAGCAGTTGTTTCCATGTTGATCACCAGCATTTATTATCTTTTGAGTATGTAATGTTACAAGTTCAATATTTTACTTGCGTGACATTGATGGATCTAAATTGTTGCTACTATTTTATGTTTCCAGGCCCAGATTCTATCTAATTTAAAAGCAATGGACTCTGACTGGTTTGCACAGAACTACATGGGAAGAAAATCGAAGGTGTGTTCAACATTAACCAGTTATTTTTAATCCCTGTCATTTTAACAAAGTTCCTGGATGGATGGGTCAGCAGCCATTGTAATGGGTCAGATCATAAAAAGCACGTAATCTCCTGTCATGCCAACTCACTGCTCCTTGCCTTGCCGGTTCCAATGTATCAGATACAGTTTCTGGAATGTGTAGCTGGGATTACTGGAACTTTGTTTGGTTTGGATACTCTTAAGCATGGTGATCGATTTCTGCATGTATCAGACACTCAGCTGACCAAAAAAAGTGTCCAAGTTTGTTTTCTATAAATCTTTCTAAATTGGAACTAATTTGATTACTTTAAAGAGACACTAGTCTCCTGCCAATATGGTATTCATGATATATAGCATATAATTATATAGGTGTCCTCCCATTGTATTTTATATACACCTTGACAAACTCAATTTGCAGTTTACCATGTTGCGGTCTAAAAACCACTCACGACTTCAATTTTTGCCTCTCCAATCTCCCGTTTAATACCTAACATCTCCTTGCATTTAACATATCAAATGCTTCGTCTTTAGGGTTCAGCTGGTAGCCTCATATAACACTATACATCTCACTGTTCGTGTCTCCTCCAGAATAGTTTCCATAGTCCATCAACAATACTTCCTACAAGATCAAGATCTCTTCTATTCTCCTTCACTGTATAACCAACAGCCCAATAGAAACCCATTCACTACTTATATCCCCTCAGCATTAACCTCCTCTTTAACATAATGTTTGGGAAGCTGATACAATCAGACCTCATTATAACACAGTGGTTTGGGTCCATAAAATTAGACCCAGCCTTTTGATGAACGCATTAGAAATGTATCTACCAATCCTCACTTGCATGATGTCTGGTCGCCAATGACATCACCACTAATGTCACTAAGCCACTGTGTACAACAAGCCTGCGGCCAGTGGCAATCGCTCATGAAAGGCACTGACACCAAGAGGCCCTGTGCACTATGTGCAGGAAGCTGGTCAGTCAGGCCAGAGATTACCCACAATAAGAATGGCAATATAATCCTGATATTCCAGGTCTTCAATTACTCATACACCTTCAGTTTCATGACCTTAGTGCCTCTACCTCCAGTTACCTTTATTTGGGCGCCCACCACATTAAACTATGCAGTCTGCAGGATGCCTGTCTTTAGATTGACTCACTGTTTTTGTACTATTGGCTAGGTTGGGGTTCCCCCACTCGATAAGTTGAACTGTTGGGGTGGTTCACTATCCCTGGGACATCCTTTTGGTGCCACTGGTTGCCGTCTTGTGACAACAGCTGCTCATAGACTGATTAAGAACGGTGGACAGTATGCACTGGTTGCAGCTTGTGCTGCTGGTGGGCAGGTATGGCTTTTGTTTGTATTGTAAATATATATTTCATCTTTAATATTGTGGACAGTGACTTTTTTTCTTCAGCAAGTCATACTTTCAAATGACTTGGCAACATTGCTCAAAGTACTGTTTTGTGCAGTCTAACATCAAAGCAGTTCTTCCAGCAAGTCATAGTGAAGGTAAAGAATATCAAGTTGCTGAAACGTATGCTTTCTAGAATAAATCATTACAATGGATCACATTGATTTGACATATTTTTGGAATAATAATGCAAGCACTTTTGACATAAAACAAATATCTTAAAATACTTTATCAAATATAAATGACTAGAAATGAAGTGAATACTCTGTAATAAGTAAACACAGCAGCTCATCTGCACCATCAGTATCTCATAAACAAAATGAGATGATCAGACAATTAAAATGGATTAGAAGGTGAATGTAAACCAGGTTAAGACTCCACGTATATTTGAGAAACTAACAAACTCGACACGGACCAGGCACTGGCAGCATCACCATCCATGGATGCACACTCCACCTCACTGAGGCAGTCTGGAATCTTGGTGTCTTGTTTGATCCTCACCTGTCCTTTCTCCCCCACATCTGCGCCTTGACGCACTTTGCCTCCCCCCACAACATCGCCCGACTCCACCACTATCTCGCCTCTCCACCCACCGAAACCCTCATACACACATTCATCACATCTAGGCTCGACTACACCAACTCCCTGTTTGTCGTCCTTCCCAACACTTCACTTCACAAGCTGCAGATCATCCAGAACTCTGCAGCTCATGTCCTCTCCCGCACCAGGCTCTGTGACCCTAGCACCTCCACCCTCACCTGGCTCCACTGGCTCCCCATCCCACAGAGGATAGAGTTCAAAATCCTTGTTCTCACCTTGAAGGCCTTGCTCCTTCCTACCTCTGTGACCTACTACCCCATATCAACCTCTCTGCACCCTCCACTCAGCAGGCTCTGGCCTGTTCCACGTTTCCTGCCCGACCCTTCCCAATTTTGGAGGTCGGGCCTTCAGCCTCACTGCCCCCATCCTCTGGAACTCCAGCCCACATTCCCTTCACCTCGCTCACTCCCTTGCTTCTTTCAAGGCACAACTCAAGACCTTCTTCTTCAACCGTGCCTTCGGCCACCCTCCCTGCCCTCCACCCTCCCTGATCCCAAACCCCTGCTCAGGTCCAAATTCCTGACTGTATAGCACCTTGGGGCGTCCTCCTGACGTGAAAGATGCCACACAAATGTAATTTTGTATTGTATTTGAACCAGTGAGCTCCTGGTCCATAAACTGCAGCTCTACCCAATACACTATCAACAACAAAACCCAGGGTAGCGTCCTAAAGCGCTTTCCAAATCAGTGCTATCCTGGTGTCTACTCTTTCATTACAAGCCCGAAAAATTTGAAATTTATACCTCGTTTAAATTTATTCTGAGACTTGTGTTCATAATCTGGGCTGATTGATGGAACTACATCTATTCAAATTATCTTCCTTGCTGTTAAAAAAAATTCTTCCTTGAATTGTTTAAGTGTGATGATAATTTGTATTAATTTCTTTCAGGGTCATGGAATGATTGTGGAAACCTATCCCCAATAGTGAAACGTGCTCCTGATTTGACAAGTTTAAAATAATGCCATTCCAATGCAGGGGAAGAGTGATTTCAGAAAAAAAAACATTTGCCGCTTTGTGGAGATACCTTCTTAATAGCTTTGTACATACCACCATCTACGGTTGTCAATAAAAATTCAATCAACTACATTTATAATCTTGAAATGTATTAATTGGGAAAAGTAGAAGAGGTTTTAAAACAACTTCTTTTTGATCTTGTTTCCCCAAATTTGAGTTGTTTCAAAGCTTATTTTAGGATAGAATTTCACTCTTGCTTGTAGAAACAGTAGCGTAGCATGCAAATTATAGGTGATACTTTAAAATGCAAACCCATATGCCTTAATAAAAAGTAAATTTACAAAATAAAGTGTGGACCATCTCTGGAATGTTGTGAGCATTACTGAACATGCTTAAAGTAACCTCTGAAATTATTGTGACCAAAATCCTGGGAGGATGTTGCATTTCTTGTCTCTGCATCAATTCTTTCAAAAATTAAACTCTTAAAATTTTTGTGGTACTTTACAGTGATTTGTTTCGCTTTGACAGATTGAATACAAAAGTAAACAAAAAGAACTTGAATCTGTCTGTCCCATTCTCCGGTGATCAAAGGGTTAGGATCAGTTGTTGGCAAAATATCTATCAAAAATAAGAGAAGGTTTGACTTTCTTGTTATTGCCTTATCTTAAACCTAGAATGATGAATGTATTGAATCACAGAAAACCTTTTCAAACAATTGATAAGCACAACTTTCACGTTTGAGGAAAATGGAATTCAAATTCAAATTCCATCTTCCCAAACGATTTGTATTGTAAATTATACAAGATAGCAACATCAACCCACTGTATACCAATGTATACAAATCAACAAAAATTGGCAATCTCAATTAGTTGTGGTAAAGATTGACATCCCACATATTGATAAGCACACAAAAACAGCACAGGTATATGTACGGTAATGTCTCAGAGCCCTTCAACGGGACAGGGTTGCACCCTGAGCCGAGGGGCATTGGGGGGAGGGGGAGGATGGTCGCCATAGGTGTGTTGAAATGGGTAGGATTTAAGGTGGGACAAAGGCAGAAAGAGGGGTGGAACGGAGTGGTACAGGGAGGGAGTTCCAGAGGTTAGGGGTGTAGGAACTGAAGATGGCCAACAGTTGTGGCAGGGAAAGGGCAGTAGAGTGTGTACCAAGCCCACGTTAGCTGAATTAAACGAGTGAGTGTAGGTAGGTAGGAGATCAGAGAGATAAGGGGCTGCCAGGGAGTGGCTGAATTCGTAAATGATGGTGACAACCTTGAAATCGATCAAATGGGTGATGGAGAGTCAGTGGAATCTGATGAGGACTGGGGTGTTTGCTCGTGTGGAGTTTGATAAGGATGTCGGCTGGAGAGCTTTAGATAAGACGCCACTTATAAACTGGAGCAAAGAGACTAGCGAGGAGAGTATTGGTAAAATCTAAGAGGGAAGTGCCATAGGCATGTTCAAAGTGGTAGAGGTGGAAATTAAAGACAGAAAGGCAGGAGCAAAACAGAGTGGTAAAGGGAAGGAGTTCCAGAAGATGGGGGCACAAGAATTGAAAACGCACCTGAAAAAAGGATGTGACGAAGGCACGAATGAGTGTTTCAGCGACACTGATAGGGGCAGGGTGAGTGATCTGAAGGCCTTTGATTTTTTTTTAAATCAAAAAAGGAAACCGCAAACACGGTAGTAACTGGTACGCAAGTGAAACTTCCACGTTTTCAATACATAAATGAGCACTTTCCAATAGGTGTCACTGGATAGTGAATAGTGATCAGAGAAACTTGACAGTCAATTCCGGTTCTTTTGTTTCAGCTTCTGCTGTCACCTGGTGGCCGCATAATCTAAGTGCAGATGAATATTGCTAAAAATACCAAACCATAAGTTATATCTGGCTTGGCATCGTTTATATCCTGGGTAACAGATGCTTATTTGGAATGTTAGAGTTCAAAACACAGCCTTAGTTGGGATTCAGATTAACAATAGTCACAATAAGATTGAACCGTACTCAACCAAGCAGCAAAATGAGCCAAGTTCTGGAACTCTCAAACCTAAATATTTAATTTATTCAGCTAAAACTTGACAATCTATTCAAGAATAAAATCACAAATGTTAGATTGTTCATCCCGTCCCAAGTAGATTTTTGAATGCTTGCAACAATCTGGACAGTGAAAAACAAGAAACCCTGGAAGGGGGACAGAGAATTGGTGATATATGGCAGCTATTTCGCAAACAAGAAAAAGATTTTTTTTCAGAAGAAAGATGGAGGTCTTTAGGGAAACCCAAGAAAAATGCTTCAGTAGGTATTTATCACAGGAAAAAACATAAGGAAGGAATACTGTCCTTCCTTCAAAAAATAATCCCTTCAAAAGAAGAAGAATTTGGTCACTCAATCCACGACTGTTTGTAGGCACTGCTGTGTACAATTGTCTGCCACATTTCACCCACAAAATATGCAGTCAATCCACTTTCCAGTATATTCTGTAGTTCACTTTGAAATGTTTTGAAGACTTGATAAGGCATGATATTAAATGCCTGCTCCCTCTGCTGGTTTCCAAGTTAAATGCACTGAGCTGGAAGATCCCCAACATTGCAGAGCTTTCTGACCACACATTTATTATCCTGGTTTTAATTTTTACATTATTGTGCAAATCTACCGAGAAAATAGCTAGAAATGCTAAAATAGTTTTTCTATGCTTTAATTTTGGTGAAGATAGGTTTTCTTTTTCAATCTAAAGTGATGTGGTTATTATTTACTGTTTAATCTCGAGTTGCTCCCATTCAATCAACTTCATTCCCTTTTCTTTCCAACCTGATTGTCCATTCCACTCAATATGATTGGTAAATATATAACGACTCTCAGAGCGAAAAAAGGGTGGTGGAAGCAGATTCAATAATAACTTTCAAAAGGGAATTGAATATATACTTGAAAAGAAAAAAATTGCAAGGTTTTGGGGAAAGAACGGGGGTAGTGGAACTAATTGAATAGCTCTTTCAAAGAGCCGGCACAAGCACAATGGGCCGAATCCTCATAGAATCATAGAATCCTTCTCTGTTGTAGGATTTTCTGAGCAGTTGTGGGGGAAAGGTGATTCAGCCCTTGTAGTATTACATTGGAAAATGGTCCAATACTGTTTTGCATTCCTATTTAATCTGCCTATTACAAAGGAGCAGCTTTGCAGATGTTAACAAAGTACATTCAAATGTGTCTCAACGCTTCTATTAAAATAATGAATTTGCCTCAGTGTAGATTTTCATGTACATTTATGTTGCAGCTTGTTCAAACTACTCTTGATACCTTACCAACAAAGCAGTAGGTGGTAGGAACAGGTGATCAACATAAAGTCTACCTATTATTATTTTAGGTATTTGTAAAAGATTGTTTCAAATAATACTTTAATAAAATGTCAAAACCAAGCTCATTTATTGTGGTTTGTAATCAAATAAAAAATATTTGATGTGATCAAATATTGATAATGGTTTTAGCAAAATTAAAAATATTTCACACTTTACTACTCACTCGGTCTCTAGATTAATAAGGTAAAAGGTAAGTTTGGATCTCCACCATTATGTAATTAAATACAATTTGTATTACTAATATGAGGATATAAACTATTGAATCTCTTTGTTGATCTTTCAGTTCACAAGAGAACTTATTGATATTATACTTCCAGAATAGCAAGCCAAACCTTCTTTTCATAATAGCATCAAATTATTTCTTAGATATGTATTCGTCCTCAACCACCTTCCTGGAACTTCATTTCAGGCTAGGATTATCTCCTATGAAATTCAAACTTCCCTATTATTCTATTAGAATTAACTTTCAAAAAGGTACAAGATAAATAGCTAAAGAGGAGTAAACTACAGGGGTATGGGGAAAAGGCAGGTGAATGGGACTGAAAGGATTGCAAAGACACAATCAAATGGTCAAATGGCCTTCTCTGCTGTACATTTCTATGGTTCTATGGTTCTGTTAATCTAGTGACTCAGTGAGAAAATTAAGAACACTATTCATTTTGCCTACTGCCTTTGCATATCCAAAAGTACTGCTCAGGATTTACACATCTTTTCCCTTAAACCATGTACAGTGGAGTCCTGTAGCTCTGTAGTGGTTAGAGAGACTTGGGTTTGATGCCTGGCAGGGCAAAATGTTGGGCAAGCTTCCATAATCCACACGCTTCTGTTGACCTAGTAGTAAGTAGGAATCCGGTTGTTAGTCAATTGGTGAATCGCTTTTCCGGGGGTAATAATTCCTTCAAAAAAAATAATAAATTGGTCACTTCAAACCACAACTGTTTGTGGGACACTACTATGCGCAATTGGCTGTCGTGTTTTGCCCACAAAAATATACTGTCAATTTACTTTAGAGTACATTCTGTGAAGCAATTTGAGACGTTTCGAAGACGTGATATGGTGCTATATCAAATGCAAGGATTATTATTAAACCATCTTATATACATCTACAACTCAGCCAGGCTGGCAATATCCTCTCTAAGACATCTCTTTAAGTCTATCTTATTTGGTTCCTCATCATAGTACAACTCTCGAACAGTGGTGGAATCAACTTTGTTGCTGTCGTTAGTATGTCTTGGATCTGGGCTTTGCCGACTAAAATGCAAGTCCAGTTATAGCCTGATCAGAGCATGGTTGGTACAGAATTGGCTATTTATCCTGTTTGCATTATTTATTGGTACTTCTCATAGTTTGGACATAGTAAATGTCAAGTCAACTAATACTATGGCAACTATGGAGCACATGTGGCTCCTATTTTTACTGTCTTTATGCAGGAACTTGCATCATTCACCTGTAGGGAACTTCAATTGTCAATGATTAACTCAGGTACATATCCTTTCCTTAAGTCTATATTGGCTACAACCTCTGATTTGACAGTACTGATTCATCTTCTGATTTGATCATCATCTGGAAATTGAAAACTTGCAAATCCAGATCATTTACAAGGCACATGAGTGATACCAGGACACTTCCCTCAGTCTGTACTCAGCACACCTCCCATTTCAACCTCAGGCTTCCCTGTTTCACTCTAGCCAGTTTGCATAAAAATCACCAAACAAACATCCCTTCCATATAAGGCTTAATCATCTAGACTCAAGAACATTCATATACAATCGTTGACAAACATTTATATTGTGGTACCTCAGATATAATGACTAGACTCTGCCAAGTGCTGAAACCGCTCATTAATGGGTTATATATCCAATTATAATCATTATAATTATTCAAGTTCTGCCAATGAGCCAGGCTGTGCTGTCATCAGCAGTGTCCTGGAATACTATGGGCATGCTCAGGAACTTTTTTTTAAAAAAACAAAATAAATTTAATAAAGTTTCCTACAGTAAACCACAATTCACAGTATTAACAAAAAGAGTGCTTAAATTCAAAAATCCTTTAAATAAATAGTGTGGGAAGAAAGTGGTCTGAGTCTGTGTTTGGATTAAATAGAAGTCTACCAGGCAATTTTGTAACTAGAAGAATTGTGAAACATTGTATAGCCATTATTTGCATCCTAATTTACTTATTCATTTACATGTGTTTTATGCCATTATATCATTATTATGCCATTCTTCTAAAGTATCACAAAATATCAGCAAAATCGAATGAAAGCTTTATTTCACTTTCACTTCACAATAAATTTGGACACAAGGCATCACAAAAAATATTGTACATTTTATAATGGCCTTCCCAACTCCTCCCTCCACAGACTGCAGATAATCCAGAACTCTGCAGCCCGTGTTCTCTCCCGCACCAAACTCTGTGACCCCATCTCCCCCATTCGCGCCCAACTCCACTGGCTCCCTATCCTTCAGAGGATCCAGTTCAAGATCCTGGTGCTCACCTACAAAGCCCTCCATGGCCTCGCCCCACCCTACCTCTGCAACCTCCTAACCCCCTACCAACCCGCCTGTTTCCCTCCGCTCAGCCGGCTCTGGCCTGCTCCATGCCCCCCGACCCATCCGCCCCACCATTGGTGGGAAAGCCTTCAGCCACTCTGCCCCCAACCTCTGGAATTCCATCCCCCAGTCACTCCACCTCGCCCCCTCCTTAGCCTCCTTCAAGTCCCAGCTCAAAACTCTCCTCTTCGACCATGCTATTGGCCACTCCCCTCCCTTCTCCCCTCCTGACCCCAGCTTGGGTCTGAAATGCTGTACACTGTTCAGCGCCTTAGGACGTCCTCCCAACGTGAAAGACGCTATACAAATGTAATCTTGTTGTCGTTATATGCTAAACATTGTGCAACAGATTAGAGTTTAGAGGTATGATTTTGGACTCTTCACTGACTGGGTACGTCATATTGCCAAATACACAAGCCTTTTTTTTAAAAAAAACATGGGTTAACACTATGGTGTCCATAGAGACTGACTGCACACGCAGAATAGTCAACTTCAAGAAAATGTTAGGAGTGACAATAATGATCAACACAGAATGCAAATCCATTTGCACATGGGAACATATGGAAGATTTGTTCACCTTTTTTTTGGTCAGTTAAGAGTTTGACACCACGGGAAAGCCACCACCATACTTAAGAGTATCCACACCAGACCAGAGTTCCACATAGATATGCCACAGATACGCGCAAATTTCCGTGGGCACTTTTAAAACAATAACAACCATCCTTGCATTTCATATTGCGTCTTATCACATGGTTGAGACGTCTCGAAGCACTTCACAGAATATATTATAAAGTGGATTGACTGTGTATTTGTGGATGAAAAGTGAAAACACAACAAGATAAATTAAAACAATTGATAGCCCTCGTATTTGGTATAACGCCTATGAGGTGGAAGACTTTCAAACCACTTAAAGGAAAGCCAAGCCACGTTAGCAACTGTATATTTGTCGGCATTGGTGGCAAACGCTTACCACTTCTTAAGAGTGACTTTGGCCGATCCGCTTCAATAACAATCCATACATTTGACATAATAGCTCATCAGGTCAAGATTTCTCAAAGCGCTTTGCGGTAAAATGTACTGTAAAATGACTTGGAGGAGAACGCAGAAGCCAATTTGCACACAGCAATAATAATAATAATAATAATAATCCTTGCATTTGATATAGCGCTTTTCACGTCGGGAGGACGTCCCAAAGCGCTTCACAGAACACCCCCACAAACAGCCGAGAAGGTCGATCGCCAAGTCTGGGCAACACTGGGAGCAGGAAGACCCCTTTCCCTTTTCGAATGGACTGTACTTTTGCAGACTGCAAAAAAAAAAAAAAAAAACAAACCAGGTTGCGTGTTGGAGCGCACAACTGCAGGTTTTGCAGACTTTGCTCTGCAGACTCCGTACTCGCACAGGCAGTGCGGGACTTGGTTGCGCAATTACCTGTAGCCTTAAGTCACTCGACTGAAGTCGGTCCCCGGCAGAGTGGGGGGTGCGCTCTGCCCGGACAGTGGGCAGCGAGTACCTCTACCTGAGGAGCCACAGCCTGTGGGATGGGCTGCTGTTGGCCGCTCTGAGCGGCACCTGGACACCGAGTGGCCGAAGCCCTCCCTCCTCTGCCGCTGTGGGGTTAAAAGTGGAAGAGGAGGAGAAGTTTGGATGGATTCCAGGTAACTGCCACAAACCGAGGTCGCCTGCAACTGAGCTCTTGCAAACGCACTGCGTTGAGCTGCTTCTCCTTCTCCTCCTCCTCCTCCTATCTATCTATCTATCTATCTTGTGTCGTGTTCCCTTTATTTGGAACAACCACCAGTTGAATCTATTGGGAAGGTTTACGGAAGTGTCCCTAAAGGTATATATATATAGTGCTCTCACCAGACGGTTTGCAGGGCTCTGAGCCTCTTGAGAGCAATGCTTATGGTTTCCCCCCTCCTCCACTCACTCAGCAGCTAATGGACTAAGAAGCTACAGCAGAGCTCAAAGCGACAACATGGTTTGAAGTGAGCATTTTAGACAGAACAGGCAATGAGTTTGCTTGGAAAGTCTTAGCAAAGCGAATTTGAGTTTTGGAGGCCTTTTCTCCCCTCCCCATGAACTTTTGAGTGTGAGCGCATAAAGAGGAGTTGGGGAATGAGACTGTAATTTGACTCTGGAGGCCCAACTAGTGAGTAACTTTTAATTAACCTTTGGATTCTTTTTGATTTGGAAGTTTCATTCAAGTGCGCATTCAGAAAGCTCATAATGTTTCATGTGTTTTTTTTAACAATAGTTCTGTTGTAATATTTTCGAGTTGTTTTAAATATTAAATGTAGGCTCTCTTACCACTCGTCACTGTTGACAGAGTTTCAGTTTACTGTTGCTGTTGAGGAGCAAAAATATCTGCACAATCCACTTCACAGTCTATTCTGTGAAGTGCTTTGAGACATCTCAACGATTTGATAAGGGCTATATCAACTGCAAGGATTATTATTATTTCAGTGTGGTGTTAATTCTATTTGCAATTGGATAAAAGGAGATGAATGCAATAGGCTTTACCTCCTCTCCCAATGTTATGTAAATGGATGTTAAATTGACTTTAAAAACTTTACTGTATAGATAATTGTGATGTTTTTCCTCCACTGGAAATGAGTTAGAATAATTATTTTGAAACTAAAGTCAGAGAAATTGACTTTTTTGTGCGATGGATAATTGGAGATTTCCAGTTTCGCAACACAGGCTGATGTTTGCTCTGAAGAAAAACAGTTAATTTTACTATTTATTCTCACAATGTTGTGGTAGTGACTGAAGGAAAGTAATTTGGTATCTGGAGAGAAAATTATAATGAGTCGAAGAGGAACAGATGGAGGAAATCTGTAACGTAAGATGACAAGAATTATGAGGATGAGTGATCTCATTAAGTTAGAGTAAAATTTTTTTAAAAATCTGAAACAAAATCAGAGCGAATGTAAGTGGAAAAAAATCTGTGGTAAATTGTGACTCCAAAGATGCCAGATATATCTGCAGTAATCTAGATCATTCATGTGACTTCGATGTAGTTGTTAATGTGTCCTGAATCCTATAAAGCACATCTTTTCAATGGTAGAGGGGACCTAGCAGGACAAGCATTGTGCTGCAATACCATTTCCCTTTAAAGGAAAATCATATAAAAGTGCTTACTACACTGTAAAATTAATTAGATGGAGAGGAAAAGAAGTTACATGGCTAGGTCAACATAATTTTGTTTGTAAAATTGTTGGCCTTATTTTGTCACAGCATTTGTTTTTATCAGTTTGCAGTATGGCTAGAGAGATGTAATAGGTCGCTTTTATTTATTTACAACTTGATGTTCAACTTTTACTTAGCTTAAAACTGTCATTTTTACAGAAAAATTACATTTTGAAGTCGGCCCCTGGAAATATAGTATACCGGAGATAAGTTCTTGTTTGTTTTCCTAACTAGGCCATTCAGTCTTTACCACTGAACTGAGTACTACATTATACCATTTTAAAGACTGCATACGGTATATTATCACAGCGATGGACAACAAAGATGTGTCAGAGCCACATTTTCCATCATGTCAGTCAAAACTGCTGCACCATCCTGAACAACTACAGGTTAGTAACAACTTGACATTAACAACGTGGAATTTTTTTCTGTTGAAAAAGGAAATACTCTAACCGAATTGTAATTGAGGATACAGAGAAAGTATTTGGCCTTTCTGACAGTATATACAACTATTATTATTATTAATACAGTATATACAGTAGTTGAAATATCTTTTTCTAATCATGACTCATCAGCAATTCCTAGTCAGAGTTGTAGGTTCAAGACTCACCTTGAGACTTTGAACTCATATAGTTTAGGCTGGCACTCAATGCAGTGCTGAGGGTACTGTGTTTCAAATGAGATAGAAATCTGTGGTCTCGCCTGCCTGCTCAGGTGAACGTTAACGATCCCAATGGCACTATTTGTAAAGAGAAAAGAGTTTCTCCCAGTGTGCAGGTCAGCAATTTTTCTGATAAAATTGCTCATTAATGTCACGGCTGTTTGTGGGACATTGCTGGGTGCAAAATAGCTGCTGGTTTGCCTTGAGAAATCCTTCTGGCGTAAAAGCTACTAAATCAAATATAAGGATTATCATTTTTTTTCCCCCTGCAGTACTATTTCGTTGTAAAATTTCTTGCATAAACTGTACTTTCATATGTTCTTATTTCCTCTATTTTAAGAAATACTTTGTACATCTGTGTAAGTTCCTTTTTATTCCTAAACCGCAACAACCACTGTAAAATGTAAAGATTTATCATCTGGAGATTGTTTCTTATATGTATGATTTTGAATAACGGTTAAGTTAATTTCTTCTTAAGTTAAAAGGCATGTTTTATTATGTAACATTTAATGCTAGATACAGGAGGCAGTGATTTTTCACAACCCAATAGATGCTGGAACATTCACTGGAGTTACCTACAGTGCAACACTGTTATACCACACACATTCAGTAATGATTCACTCGCATGTGTGTGTTTGCCCGCTTACTTCCATGTGCTGGGTAACTTTACAGCTAAAATAATGCCTCCTGGTGATCTCTACAAATATCTCTGTCTGTCTTTCATGTGTGAAGCAAACAGGAAATCTCAACAATGACTTGATAACCTGTAAGCTGGTGATTTTTTTTAGTGCGGGCGCCAGGCGGGCACAGAGCCAATATTCCAATATACCCATCGCACCTCTCTATAGAATGGATAGGGATTTTTTGGATCCCAATTACTATGTTATACCAAGGCTTCATGTGCTATTTAAGGACTATTAAAATCAGTATACTAATGTTTTTTGCTTTATCATTTACAATCCAGCAGCATTTATATATGAAAAATGTTCTCCAGGAGGTAGTGGTTAGGTCTATGTTACGTTAGTTTTATGCTAGGGTAGGTTTAATGGACTGAATGAGTGGCTTGATGGTCTGAACAGCCTGTTTTAATTATATATTTGCTTGTATAAACTTGACAACACTGCACTACATTTGACTTCATGTGAGACATTGCTGTGCGCATATTGACTCATCACGAGTGCACAGATATAAGGAGTTGTCAGCAGGCAAATGAAAGTAGTTTGCCCATAATATTAATTCATTATACTTTATTTAAAAGATAATACACTTTAAGTAAATCCTGTGAAGTACTTTGAGTTGTCTTCTTGACTTGAAATGCAAGGATGGTTGTAATTTTATTATTGAGAGTAACTGCCTGTGAAATCGATAAGTAATGTTGCAGTGTTGTAGGCACTATATCAAATTCAAGGATTATTTAGGTCAAGTAGGTTTTAGATTATGTTTCTAGTTTTCTTTTTCAAGATTATTTTCATTACTTTCTATTGTTTGTTTATTACCAACTGATCTTGAGCTTTGGTTTGGGTGTGATTTATGCACATTATATTGAAAACTTTTGATTACATGAAATAAAATACCAAACAATGTTAATAGATACCAAACAATGTTGCCTATAATCTACAGGATTGGAGTGAACTGATTTCAGTTTAAGATATGATTGGCTTTGCTTGGTTTGATGAAAATCCAAACGATTTATAAAGTTAACAAGTTTTTAATTATGTATAGAAAACTGTAAGATGAAGTAAGCCTTTAATTTGGTAGTTATTCCTTGAGCAATTTTCACTTATTTTACTGATTTATGTCTGTTTAAACTGCAATGTGAATATTTTTTTCTGGATTCATAGAATTGTTATTCTATGAATCACTAGTGCACAGGTATATAATTCTATGAATTATACAGCACAGAAGGAGGCCATTCAGTCCATCGTGTCTGTGCTGTTTTTTTTAAAAACGCTATTGAAATCAATCCCACTCTCTCCCCATAGCCCTGCAAACTTATCCTCCCCAAATAGTTGTCTCTCTATAGACTGCTTTGGTAAGAGTTGAGGCCTCCTGCCTCCCAGCCATCCAAAGAACTAATTGCATATAGCTTGTTATATGTGCAATTATTTAAGATACTTTTTAGGTTAATAACTTTTTTTAAATCACTTTTAGTGATGTTTGTTTTTTGGAATAAAGAATTCTGTAAATTGCAATCGGTAACTTTTTTATTTTTATTTCCTTGCTGTGCTAGAAGTGAAGGGGAATTATATTACAGTACAACAACAACAACAAAATTTGTATAGCGCCTTTCACATCAGGAGGACGTCCCAAGGCGCTGGACAGTCAAGAGTTTCGGACCAGAGCTGGGGGTCAGGATTGGGGAGGGTGGACGGCGGGGGGGAAGCAGGGAGATCGAAAGCATGGTCGAAGAGGAGGATCTTGAGATGCGCCTTGAAGGTGGCAAGAGAGGGGGCAAGGCAGAGGGACTGCAGGCTGGAGTTCCAGAGGGTGGGGGCAGAGCGGCAGAAGGCCACCAATGGTGGGATGGGCGAGGCAGGGGACGTGAAGCAAGCCAGAGCCCGCTGAGTGGTAGGGGTTTAGGAGGTCGCAGAGGTAGAGGGGAGCAAGACCATGGAGGGCTTTGAAGGTGAGGACCAGGATCTTGAACTGCCATGTAGGAGGCAGGTGTTTTACATACGAATTTCTAATCTTGGTGAAATCATCGGGATTGCTTCTGAGTAGAGCTTAAGAACATTCACACAAGGCTGAAGGTCAGGTCAGTCCTGGGCTTCTCTTAAGAATTTATTTGCAGACTTCTGTAGAGTTGAGCAACAATAATAATTCTTGCATTCTGTATAGCACATTTCATGTCTGTCGGATGTCTCAAAGCACTTCACAGGATTTACTGTGAAATGGAGTGACTGTACTTGTAGGTGAACATGGCAGCCCAGTTGCACACAGCAATATCCTAATAACAACCATGAAATGATTGACAAATTTTAATGCAAAGTCGGCTATAATATACAAACTTATTTACCTGCCTTCTCTGATAAAAGGAAATGCAGGATGAACGGTTTTATTTTCCAAAATTAGGAGAAGGAGAAATTGTTTAAAAATTGTGATGGAGTTCAATTTTAAATCAAGAGCCATATGTTTCCTCTACATTGGGTTACTTTTTAAAATGGATATACTTTGTATACTCTATACCTCACTCTATTTTTGGTCAGCCAGATGTCTGCTGCACGCAAAGCCCTTGCACGCTTTCTCCCTAATTATTAATTCTGGAGAGTATTAGGAACAGATTGGCAAGAGCCAAGGCTTGAGAACCCCAGAGCGTGTGTTGAGGTACTGCTGGAGTCTAACCAGCTAAAACGGCATATCTTGACATTGTCTGGCAAGGTTTGTGCTGCTTGTCCAGGCCCCTACCCATAGGGCTTTGGCTTGCTGGATTAATAGAGCTGAATGGGAAGTATCCCTGTCTTCAGTAACTTGTCTGCCTCTCTAAGTTCTGCCAATGAGCTGGGCTTCCTTCAGCATTGCCCTGGAGTACTGTGGACCTGCCTGGCTCAGGAACCAGACTAGCAAGATAGATGGTTGGCTCAATTCTGACATTCTGTTGCCAACAATGTCCCCTTGGAGCTTACCTCTTCATCTCCCTGCCTCCCTGGATGCCCTATTTTTGTCATTTTTATGTCTACACGTGATGGTGGGAGAGGCTATTCCACAGTATATATTTCTCATATTTTGTAAGCGAACCAAGATCATTTGAGAAATTAATTGCATAAATATCACAGATTTTTTCACTGAATTTACTTGAGGATTTTTGTGTAAATTTTTCCTCCCCCCCCATAATCACACACTTTATTAACACGAAAATTATAAGAATGCTCCTTAATGGTTAAGTTAAGTCAGAGCAGTTATTGGAATCCAAGTTGCTATATTTTATACCTGGATTATTTTAATAAAGAACTGGTCGACCAAATGGGAATTCCCTCCGCATCGCTGAAATTAATTTCCCCAACCAATGGCAACTTTGGTGAACTCCCAAATAGAGTTGTTACAGGTTGATGGGAATTATATTGAGATTCCTCAACAACTTTTAATGTTTCAGTGGGGTGGGGGAGAGGTTATAATGGATTTTAAAAATCCGTGTTTATTTTATTCTTAGAATCCTATACATTTTTTATATTTTTTTTAGTTTTCTCTCCATTTAAAATGTTTGGATATTTGGGATGAGTTGGATAGCACTTCCAAAAAGCTGACAATAGCACGATGGGCTGAATGGCCTCCTTTTGTGCTGTAGGATTCTATGATTTGACAGTTTGTGTGACAGAAAGGGAGTATTCTGCATTTGTTGTCCTTCACCTATAATTAAGTTCAGCACAAATAATTTACTAGGTGAGGAGGAGTCAGTGACAATGGGGAGCACAGCCTCTTTAAACTATTCAGAAATTGGATTCTTCAATTCTCCTGTTCACAAAGTATATTGTCATGCTGTTTAGTTTTACCACTTTTTGGCAAGAGTCAGTAACTCAATAACAAACAACAGAAGCAACAAATTGGATTTATTTATCACCTTTCACCCTCAGAAGATGTCCCAAAGCCCTGGATAGTCCTTCTGAGACATCTTCTTTCAAGATTGAAGAGCCCTAACTTATCTCATCGTTGCTAATAGCTCATTCCTCTAACACTGGGGAACATCTGTGTTGGTCTCCTCTGCTTCTAAGGCCTGGGCAACCTCCTTATGTCATGATGACATAAGTGAGAGTATCATTACAATTGCAGTTGTATTCGGGTTGAATTCAGGAGTTGGGGACCAAAGGGGTAGATGTCGTGAGGATTATGCCAATTCCTTGGCAATTAAGTGAAGAGATTGATGTATAAGTAACAGTCCTGTAGCTTAGTGATTAGAGCACTCGCCTCGCAAGTAGAGGACCCGGGTTTGACTCCCTGGAAGTGTGAAACTTTGGGCAAGTTTCCTTACTCCAAACATCTCTGTTTACCTAGCAGTAAATAGAAACCCAGTTGTTAGCCGATTGCCGGATCGCTGGTTAGGTAATAATTCCTTTAAAAAAAATAATAAGTAATTGGTCACTCAATCGACGACTATTTGTGGGACGCTGCTATGGTAATTGGCTGTGTGTTTCGCCCACAAAAATATACAGTCAATTCACTTTACAGTATATTTTGTGAAGCATTTTGAGACGTCTCAAAGATGGAGTGAAGTATGGTCTCTTTGGAGCTGAACAGGCTCTAAGGTGATGTTGGCAACAAAATGTCGTAATCGAGCCAGCCCTCTGTGAAGGTCTCGGTAGTCTGGTTCCTGAGCCAGTTGGGTCCGCAATATTCCAGGGCACTACTGATGACAGCACAGTCAGCCTGACCCATCGGAAGGATTTGATTGAGCAGATGAGTCATTGAGTGCAGGGATTCTTACCACTCAAGCCTGCAAGCCAAAGCCTTAATAGTGCCTACCAAGCTTTCCCATTGCTGGTCTGGGTGGTCCTACCTGGACAAGCAGTGGGAAAGCTTGGTCGGCAGTGCTCTCAATGGCAAGTTATGAGATTTCAGCTGGTTAGACTCCAGGTGTAGCTCAATGCACATTCTGACGTCCCCAAGCCTTGACTTTTGCAAACTTGCACCTAATACTCTCCAGAATTACTTCAGCAGGATTGCCAGTATGCAATCGATTTCAATCCAATGCTTTATTTATATGTATAGGTGGGCGGTATGCATAGAACTCCATTTGGTTTGGATATTCTTAAGCGTGGTGATGAGTTTTGCATGTGTCAGACGCCCGGCTGACCCCCGAAATATTTTGTAAATTACCTTTAGATGTTTATTTTACATTTAAGTTGCAGTATAAATGCAAGCTGTTGTTAAAATTCTTGCATTTGATATAGCGCTTTAGAATATCTTTGAGATGCCTCAAAGCGCTTCACAGAATATACTGTAAAGTGAATTGACTCTACCTTCGGAGGTCGGACCAATTTATTGTTTTTTTTTGAAGGAATTATTACCCCCGGAAAAGTGATCCGCCAATCGACTAACACCGGGTTCCTACTCACTGCTAGGCGTATGAGTAAGGAAACTTGCCTAACATTTCGCCCTTCTTGGAATCAAACCCAGGTCTCTCACTTGCGAGGCGAGTTCTCCAACCACTGAGCTCCAGGATTACAATTATTGTTAAACAATAACTGAATATTTTTATCCCTCAAAAACATTTTTTTCAAAGTACAGCAGAAAGCTGCAGAGATATTCTCATTTTTTTGGTTTTGCACTTAGATTCTACCTCAGACTTCCCTTGGGGATCAACTCAGATTGGAAGAATGCAAGATTCGAGTGGTGAAAGCAGTATCAAAGCATATTAAACCAGTGTCCTTGTGGACAGAGGAAGAAGTGTGCGAGTGGATAAGAAATCAGTATCCAAGGCATTACCCTTTGTTTGTTGAAGCAGTTTCCAAACATGCAATCTCAGGTAAGAGTTTAGTGTACTTAGTAAGATAATATACTCAGTATGTAGTGCTGCTAAAATGTACAGAATTGTGCAAGATTGAATCTGCCGAGTAACATTTAGCTTGTAATACACTATGGAGTCAACATTGTCGTGTTCCTAAATGCATTCAGTTCCTTAATTAAGAAATTAGGTTAAAATATGTTTGACCTACCCCTCTACCTGATGTCAAAGCTGACTGAAAATGTTGCATACTGCCACCTGCAGTTCCTGCTTAGCAATTTCGACTCTGGGAGAGGATGTCAGAAGCCATTTTACCGGTATAATTTAGAATTGTATTTAAATTTAGATTTTGCTATTATCTGAATTATCTGAAGTATAATAAAAATGGAAAAACAATTTAGACTGGGATTTTAAGTGCAATTTTAAATGTGGAAATTTGCTTTGGTCAGAAATCATGCGAATGTTCTAGAGCAGTGGTGGCCAACCTTTATGGTCGGCCAACAAAATAAATTTTCTTGATTGAATATTTCTTGATTTATGCCATATACAGGAGTCCTGTAGCTCAGTGGATAGAGCACTTGCCTCGCAAGCTCGAGACCTGGGTTTGATTCCTGACAGGGTGAAACCTTGGACAAGTTTCCTTACTCCACAAGCCTGATAATAATCCCTCAAGAAAAAAAACAATAATAACTTGGTCACTCAATCCACGACTGTTTGTGGTATACTGCTGTGCGCAATTGGCTGCCGCGTTTCGCCCACAAAATATATAGTCAGTTCACTTTACAGCATATTCTGTGAAGCCCTTTGAGGTCTGAAAGATGTGAAAAGTGCTATATCAAATGCAAGGATTATTATTATGAACTTACCTAAACTAGTGCGAATGTTTTGGAGGCTGCTTCTTGACAGCTCTACAGGCCACTAACGGGCCACAATCTCTGTTCTAGAGATTGACCCTTGGGTCACAAATAAAACTTGCAGATCAAAGTGTTCGGCTGGCAGTTGGCAGGATCACGGCTTACTGTGAGATTTCTGTTTAGTAAAAAGATAATTTCACTAACCGGCAGTCAAACGTCTCATTTCAAGACCTAGTCAGGCCTGGCTTTATGAACGTCAGCAATGAAATTGGGTGGGGTGGGGGGGGTTGCTTTTTGTGACTTCTCACAGATCCTAATCAATACTTTCTGAATTTCTAATTGTAAAGCGCATGCTACTGTTATTCAGGATAAAACCATATGATGCTTACTATAATACTATAAATAGTATTTACTATAAATATTTACTATAAATATAATAATGCTTATCTAGAAAGTAATCTTTCGCTTAAAGTTTACACAATGTAGTCCTATTTCCCTTTTGCACATCGGACCAGAGAAATGTCAGGGACATTACCAATTTAGATTTTTAAACATTGTAATTGCCTGCTCACAAATTTAATTGCAGTGGCTGCATTTGGCTATATCACTGTTGTTGGGCAATTATAATTAGTACCGTAAGCGAGGAATTTGAGCAGACAGCATTTCTGGGTTGACATCAGTGAACTGCTCTGCGTATGAGTAGAAAGTTGACAGACAATTCATGTGAGGTTCTAAATTGCTTGTGCTCTCCTCTCTACTCGCTCTATTATTGCGATAAGGGGATTTTCAAGCTTTGACGTCACAAAAGTTGGGGTCTATAATCTTCCTGATTCATCAGTGAGGTAATGTTATATAGATGAGTGCTACAACAGGTTCTCCTGTAGTTGGAACTGGTCAGAAATCTTAGTTGATTTGGTTTAGGTCGGCAAAGTAACACACTTTGTGTAGGTGTAGAAATTTAAATACGCTTTATAATAATAATAATAATAATCCTTGCATTTGATATAGCGCTTTTCACGTCGGGAGGACGTCCCAAAGCGCTTCACAGAACACACTGTAAAGTGAATTGACTGTATATTTGTGGGCGAACGCGGCAGCCAATTGCGCACAGCAGTATCCCACAAACAGTCGTGGATTGAAAATGATCAATTTATTATTGTTTTTGGTTTATTCACATCACTGCACTGTGTAGAGATTCCAGTCTTGCAACACGTACCCAGTTAACAAGAAACTAGCAATACTAATGTAAGAAGCAGGAGCATCTCCTCTGAGTCAGAAGGTGGTGGTTTAAGACAAGTCAGGACTTTATTTGTACATAGTAGTCATTGCAGTACTGGGAGTACCTTTCAGTTGAGATATTAAAACTGCAATTCAGTCTCTTCTTCAAGTGAATAATAAAGATCTCGTAGAAGTATTGGAAAACAGAAAGGGATTTCTCTGTTTCCTGGACAACAATCCTCCAAATAAATTCTTCTTTACCCCATGCTTGCTTGTGCGACCTTAGTTTGCCTACAAAGTAGCCACTAATAGTAGTAATAGTAATGCTTACATTTGATACAGCACCATTCATGTCAGGAGGACATTTCAAAGTGCTTGACAGAATATACTGTACAGTGTAATTGACAGTGTTTGTTGTGGGTGAATGCGGCAGCCAGTTTGCGCACTGCAATGGCCATGAGATTAATGACCAATTTTATTTGGGGAATTGTTGACCAGGAAACTGGGAGAATGCACCTCTTTTCGAATAGTGCCACGGGATCTTTATTGTCCATCTGAACAGGCAGATGAGACCTCGGTTTTACCGTCTTATCCCAAGGACGACACCTCCATCAATTCAGCACATCCCCAGCACTACATTGGAATGTAAGCATAGACTTTTTACGTTTCAAGTCCCAATTTGGGGTTCAAACCCACAATCTTCTGACTCAGACGTGAGAGTGCTACCAACTGGTCCAGACTGACACATTGCACTTGTTGATAATTACTGCAGAGCATTTTAAGCATATCAGGTAGTATAAAAATTGCAAGTTATTTTTCCCTTCTCATGATATCACAACCACAAACTTAGGAAAAAGCTTTAGTTTTTTTGCTATTCATATTGAATTGAGTTAGCCAATAACCTAGAGTTTGCACCCAAAAGTCAAAAGGTTTTTTTAAAATGCACAAAATGTCTGAGAATTTAAAGTTGATAGGAATAAAATTAAAAAATCAACTATAGATAGACAGCAAATAGTATTCTGTGTGTGTGATAACTAAGATTGATATTCAGAAAACTGTGGACTACTTTCTGCCCTTTTGATTTCAGGAAAATTGAGGTTTTATGTTCTGTTTCTAAGTTTGATGAGCTTTATGAAGTGAAAATAACACCAAATGTTGGAACACGTGGGATTTTGTTCCTACCTAATGACACTGTAACGTCATGGCCACTTTCAAATTTAGATCAACGTTTTGCTGTTTTATGCATAAATGCATTGCACGATGATCTACCACTCTGAGACACTACCCTGTGTGGTGGACGTTATGTAAGTGCAAGTTGTTGTTGATGTTATTGTTGATCAGTTACAATGTGGTAAAACACTTTTTATGAAAAGCTTTGTAAATGTAGAAACTCCCTGTAGGTGATTTTATTACAAGCATTTATCTTAAGATGAAATCAGTGTTGAAAATAATTGAAATGAACAATTTATTAAAAAAACTAATAACCACTGGTTATGTATTCAATTATCTATTCAATTTATGGTTGAAGTGTTCTGTGTTATTGGCCCTCAATAATGGGTGAAAGCTGTAAACATAAACCAAGAAAATTCAAAGCAGTGTTTTTTGCAATACAAATGCTCAGGTGTTTGTTATGCTAGTCACATTATATTTAAAGTTAAGCCATCTTTTTATATATTTTTGGAATTTGAAAAAAATAGGCTACTTGGGTGGCCCATACTTGATTGTGATTTCCATTGCTGTTGTGGCATTCCTGATATCTATACTTGTACATAAATTGAGCACATGTGCTATAGATACAACATGGTAAGAATAAAGTTAATTGCAAATGAATGTTGAAATTAGTTTAATTTCATAGACTTTACATAACTATTATAAGTATCTTATTCTTGTTTGTATTATGTGAGTTCAAAATGTGTATCATTAAAACGTACTCTGGTTGAAATACCCATTGACAGATTCTAAGTGGAAAATATATCTGTTTCAAAAGCCGTAGACCACCCAACTTATAATGTTACAAAGTCTATGTTAACTTTGTTAATAGGCTTGTTTTCAGAGAAAACAAACTGAAGTTTAAAGTCATAAAATTAATGTGTGTTAAACCCATTTTCTTTGATACTGATAGTCATCGTGCTAATTTATAGAACTTTTGCTTGCGGGATTATCAAAATCTGTTTTGCTTGCAGTAACCAGAACAGACTCCAACTGTACAGCATTAATTCTTTCAGGTTTATAGTGACACTTATTTGAGATGATTCCAAGTGCAATTTGATTTCAAAGCCAATGTCCAAAGCTTTCATTAGGTGGTGCTACGATATAAATCGCTGGTGCTGTTGAAAGCACCACACAATCATTGTGCTGTGTGGTTATGCAGTTATGCTTGTCTGTTTATGTAGTTTTCGGTGCAGTGAGTTTCCAATCTCAGACAGCCATCAAGGAGCTGGCAAATGGGAGCAAGGCAATTCCTCAAGGCAGAAAGCACATAAAATAGTCAGACCTTGCTTACTTCAGTTGAGGAGAATGAGATTAACTGAGATTGTTATTAACCGAGGAACAACAAAAGGAAAACACTCCCCTCTCATGTCAACAACTAAATAGTGGTGAGTTTGAATAGAGTGGTCATTTCTGCGGGTGAGGCAAAAGCCTAACTGAGGTGAGGGTCTTGGACAGGGAGTAATAATCATAAAGATAATCCGTGCATTTGATATAGCACGTTTCACGTCAGAAGGACGTCCCAAAGCGCTTCACAGAATATACTGTAAAGTGAATTGACTGTATATTTGTGGGCGAACGCGGCAGCCAATTGTGCACAGCAATGTCCCACAAACAGTTGTAGATTGAAAATGACCAATTTATTATTGTTTTTGGTTTTTGGAGGGATTATTATTAGGCGTGTGGAGTAAGGAAACTTGCCCAAGGTTTCGCCCTGCCCGGAATTAAACTCAGGTCTCT